GCAGCAACAAGAACGGGGATTCCCCATGTTGTAAAAAGGGAATGTCTATAGTATGTGTATGTATTTCACAACAGTAAAGCTATAGTGCAGTATCATTATTTTAATAGCAAAGCTTACATCATTTTTATCTGCATATTTGAATCTTTACTGGTAACCTTTCTTTCAACATTATATTTTTTGTGGCATTTTTTATAATTTATGCAAATTTTTAAGGTTTTATAATACCAAAAGATTTGGAAAAAATCAAATAAAAAGAAAAGTTATGTCTTTAGAAACAAAATTAAAATATTAGATCGTCTACATACTAGACAAAGAGTAACAGATGTTGTTAAATTTTACTCCATGAATGAAGCCACAATAAGGGCAATTAGAAAAAATGAAGTCTCCATTAGAAAAAGTGTAGAAGCTGGAACTTGCAGCAGTAAGAAATAATACAATAGAAAATATGGAAAAGGCATTAGTGATATGGACCAAAATCAAAAACGGATTTTAGTTGATACTAATGCTATTACAAATAAGGCTTTAAAGATTTATAAAGCACTTAAGAATCAGTCATTGTCAGATGAAAAAAGGTATCTTTTTTCGCAAATTATAGTTGGTTTGAGAGATTTAAACAAAGATATTCTTTGCGTAATCTAAGACTGAAAGGAGAAAGTACATCTGCTGATTTAAATGCAGCACAACAATATCCAGCAATATTTGCTTAAATCATTGCCACCAACTCCTATGCTTCTGATCAGATCTTCAATGCTGACGAGTCCGGGTTTTTCTGAAAAAACTGCCTGAAAGAACCTATTTAGCTAAAGCTTGCAAATCAGCTAGTAATCATAAGGTAACGAAAAGTTATATAACAATTCTTTTCTGTTGTAGCACTTCAGTTGATTATATAATGAAACCATTGTTATTAACAAATCAAACACACATTTAGAGAATAAACATAAATTATCTCCCCATTTATTGGAAGCATGGGTCACTGTCATAGCTTTCAATGAATAGTTTCTTAACGTGTTTGTCCCAGATGTAAAACATTATTTAAGTAAAAAGGGATTGCCTTTTAAGGCTCTTCTATTAATTGATAATGCACCAAAACAAACCTTCAGGTATATTTTAGAACAAATGGAGAATGATGAATCTAATGCTTGGAAGAAATTTACAATCTTAGATTGTGTTATGCATGTTGAACTGTCATATACTCAGATTAAACAATCAATGCTCAATGCATGCTGGAAAGCAATATGGCCTGATGCTGCTAAAGATGAGAATGATATATAACCATTATAGCATGAATATTCTCAGATCATTAAATTGGCATAAACTGTAGGAAGAGACGTTTTGAGGATTTAGTTCAGGCAGATATTGAAGAAATAATGGCTGATGAAGAACTAAATGAGGATGAGTTAGTTGACATGATTCATAAAACAAATAAATATGATGAAGACAATGATTCTGGTGAAGAGCAATCTGAACCAGTTGCATTCACAGGAAGAATCATTAGTGTAAAACTTGAATTGGAGAGAAAATTAGGTAATAATTTTTTACAATATTAACATGAATGTTGGGCAAGCTCTCTGATTCCATCGGGAGCTTAGTAAATGCTTAAATCAATATGAGGAAGTTACAAAGATTTAGAAAGAAAACCTAGGCAATTGGTTAATTACAGATTTCACTACAAAGTCTTGACAATCTGAAATATTCTCTAATCCGTCAACCATTGAAGCAGAATCTTATCAAGAATGCTCAAGTGATGAAAGTGACATCATACTAATCAAGAAGAAAAGACTAATAGTTCATGAAAGTGATTTTCCTAATGCAAAATAAATTAAATTGTACTTCTATTACCTACATATATTTGTTATTTTATGAACGAAGTATAACCTTATTTATTTTAAGATGTCTTACTTTAGTTTTATGTAAATAAATAACTAATTATGCACATTTAGTTTCTTTCTTTTCTCTCTCCTCTCTCTCTTTTTTTTTTTTTTTTTTTCACAGCAAAATCCAAGATTTTGGTTTACACGGTTTTGTGCGGAACCTATCTTCTATGTAAATCGAGGGACAGGTGTATATATAAACTTAAAGCATCTAAATTGATCATTAAATTGGAATAAAAGCAAGTCAATTCCTCTATAATCTAATAATTGACACTGTGTATAAGAGGTTCAATGCAATATCAAAACAAATCCAATTAAAGTAAGAATTCCTTGTAGAACAAACTCAAAAAATAAAAATGCGAAAGGGAAAATATACAAAATTATACAAATAAAAATTAATCTCCTTTCATTGAAACTCCAATTCAGAACTCATCGGGGGAAAATGAATTAAAGCTTCATATAAGTCGATTAATATGTTTCATTCTCCTAGTCCATTTGAGATCAAAAACCGTAAAAAGATTTATTTTTCGAGTTTGCTTTACTATGAATTCTTTCTTTAATTGCATTTGTTTTGATATTGTGTTAAACCTCTTATACACGTTTGCAATTATTATATAATAGAGGAATTGCCGTGCTTTTATTCCAATTTAATAATCAATTTAGATGCTTTAAATTTATTCTACTTCAATCCTTCCTTTTTATATTCCCTTATATATACATAAATTTAGCAAACATTCTCTATTCGTAAAAAGCAAATTAAAAATTAATGAAATTTAATTGCAAACAAATAAATGATTCATTATTGCTGCGAACTAACTAATCTACAATATCATTTAAATTCTGAAAGCATATGTAAATCAAGTGCAAGTATCAAAATCCATGAATAAATATATAATTCCAAAAAAATGCATAAGTGAATAATTGTTGAGCAGGCAGAAGACAGACTTATCAAGGGTAAGTTGCCTCCAAACCTAACTCTTCAATTATTCAATTTGCGTTTCGTCATCCACGTAGGCAAGGGTAAAAGTAAAATTCAAAGCCAAAAGTAGAACCAAATGCTGTGAATTACTAAAAAGAAATTTAAATAAGTGGAGTTTTGAAAAATTAGCAAGTAAATGACTAGAATTAAAATAAAAAAGGTCAATTAAGAATAGAAAATCAAAGTAATTTAGAAAAACTCTTGCCTACAGAAAACTTCCCCGACACAAATTATGCATATAAATAAAAAAGAAACTAGATACTTAAGTAAATAGTAAGTTTTAATTTAACTTACCAACTATATTTGTATTTGGAGAGTGTAGCAGCATTTGCCAAACTAAGTGATGTTAAGCAGTGTTTCTGCTAACTTTGTAAGTAGAGGGTGCTAATATAAGGTTAAGTTGAGTGTTAAGCTGCTAGCTGTTAGATCTATTTTTCTATTCTGTAAACTTTTAAGTAATGTAAAATGTGTGTTCTGTTGCAAAAATATTGCTAACTGTGAAGTATTGTAAAAATGTGTAAAAAATTGTAAAAATGCAAACTATAACATTATGTGAAAAAATAGTAGCAAACTATTAAGGATTGTAAAACATCAAAAATGTTTTTGAAATAAAGTACAAAAATTTTTTTGAAGTAAAATTAAAATATATATATATATATATATATTAATTTAACAAGCATTCTCCATTCGTAAAAAGAGTATTAAAGTTAATTAAATTTTAAATAATGAAATTTATGTGTGTGTACGTTTTTTTTTTTTTTTTTTTATTGCAGAAATGAAACTTCTGATTTTAATTTGAAATTATTCCTTAGCACTTTAATTTGCCTATTCCCCTTTCTGTTCTAAAAGTAGAAACTGCTTTTAATAAATCACTCTTCTGCATCATTTCAACATTATCCCATGTCATATGATTCTTGCATAATGCTAATGATATAGGCACGTACGTACATAAAAAGGCTTCATCCTATAATAATTTTAGAAAGAGTACTTGATACTTAGTGTCCCCTTCCCAAAATCTTTTTGTTTTATTTTTATTATTGTTTATTTATCAATTTTTCCGCCTGCTTTTTTAGCTTAATTTCTGTTGGTAATTTTCCCTTATCAGTTTTATTCATGAAATCCCCTTTCAGAAAGAAAGGGGGGAATGTAAGATCAAAAACATAAAATGAAAACAAGAATACTTCTGTTTATTGCATCTTTAATTAAATGTGAAAAATCAAAATATTAAATAACAGTAATTCATAAATTTTGTGCTAAAAATCGCATAAGACTAAACATAAAATTGAAAAGGGCATTTAGCATAGAAGAAAACATTTCACCTTTGGAATGCGTGCAACTCTATAAATTAAATTAAATAATCTAAATATTGGCTGACAGTCCTTTTTGGGATTTATTGCACAATTTTGCACTACTCCACAAGCTCTCAGCAGACTGGATATGATGCCGAGTATCCAGATCAACAAAATTATTAGAATGATTTACTGTGAAATGTTCATAATTTGCATCCATTTCAGCAGTCAGAAAATATAATAGTTCAGTCCATGGCATTTCCTTCTATTGCAGCAAATCACAGAATTTAGTACAGGAAAAAATACTGTGATTAGATGAAAAACATACTGGCTGTACAAGTTATGGTTATTAACTAAATCTACTTAAAACATTTATCACCAATAGAAAAAAAAAAGCCAAACTGGCAATGCCTGGTGCTGAAGAATTATATCAAAACACAAAATGTGCCAAATGGTATGACTTTTTTAAAAAAAAAAGAACTATGAATTTTGTCCTAACTTTGAATTTGAAATAATGTATTGTAAAAAATTGTCTTAAAAGAGTGCAACATTCCATTGTATTTTGAATGGCTTATCTGTAACACATAATAATGCTTAATGTATTATATTTTTGTGATTAATGCAAGTTTCATATTTAAATTATGTTATTAGGTCGGTTTACAGCTAAAAGATGTTTTACTTTGCTTATTAAATTTCCTTTTTCTTATTTTCCTTAATTTAGTTTCTTTTATGTTCTACCCCGCCCAATGAAAAATTATTATATGTAGCAGACATTTTGTGATAATTGTGCTTAAAATGTTTGTCTATTATAACAAAATTTTTGGATACATAATTTGTTATATATACTGATCTTTCCTCTAGAGGTGTTATACATTCATTCAGAAGGAGATTTTCCAATTAAGAGATTTATACAGTTGGCAAAAGCTGTTCAAAAACAGCATGCTTCATCTAAAATCAAAAATGTAACTGATGGTCTTATATTGAAAAAGGTGCATAATATTGTAAGTGTTGCCTTATATTTTAGATAGCAATTTAACAGCTGTTTTGTATTAATTTTGTTACCAAAATTTGTATTTTTCGTTTAGCTGTAATGGTGTCTCTGTAAGGTAAGGTACATCACTTTACTAAATTATTACTCATTTGAAATAATTTTTGTATAAATTCATATCTTTAAATGTTGAATGTAAGAGTAATTGTTGAATGTAAGACTATGTATTACTATCACAGAAATATTTATCACCAAACATTATCAACATATCAAAAGAAAATAATATAAACTACAAATTTAAATTGTTAAATAAAGATTTTATGATACATTAAACATTTGGCAGTTCTGATGACTAATCTTATGGTTTTCACATTTGACCGAGGTAACGGATTTAACACAGAAGTATCATATTTTAATTATTGTCCACTATGTGTGCAATACCAACAGCAATTTTTTTTGTATCTGGGACTAAGAAAACTTCTAAAATAATTTATGTACATAGTATTACCTTGAATTTTAAAAAAATCAATAAGGTTTTACATAGTAATTTTATCTGAACGTAAGGTAGCTTTTGTGAAAAATATTCTAATGGGTAAACAAAATCCCTAGGAAATACTAGCCATATTACTAATCTTATAAAGGGTATTCAAAATACACAGGGTGAGGGAGGGATTTGAATCTGGAAATGATATGGTCATTTTTGAGTTACTACTGTTATATGAGCAATGCCCTAGCTGGGACTCAAACCACGGACCTCTTGAATACGTGTCGAGCTTGCTGACCACTACACTGCGAAGGCATGCTAAGAAAGCGGGAGAAATACTTTATATATTCTCCCTTGTAAAGGGTGACTGGGTTTAGTAGACCCAATTGCCAAATTCTGGTGGTAAAGAATCATCATCTACCACTTTTTAGTTTGGGTGCCACTGTAGAGTCATTAGGTTATTTCGAAGCAGGAGATGTTAAAAATGAGCAATGCCTTCACTGGGACTCAAACCACGGACCTCTCGAATGCTTGTCAAGCGTGCTGAGTACTGCACCACAAACACATGTTAAGAAGGCAGGAGAAATACCTTGTAGAGTAAAAATTCAGCATTATGCATTATGAGAAATTCTGCTATAAGAATAAATTTATAAGCGAGTTTTTAATGAAAAATAACCTTATTACTTCACTTGTTAAGAAACTCTCAGGGTAAAAACCTTACATGAGTATCTGGAGTCAGTGGGGGGGGGGGAGAGAAATTGTAAAACTTTCTTACCACAAAAAAAGGAAACATCTTAACACAAGATGACACCAAGCCTTCGAGAGACAAAAGTTGCCATTAATTTATACTGAGTTATAATACACAGAACTTTCATTTTTAAAACATTTAATTGAGTTATTTTTCTCTTCTAGAATGAAATGATGCATGTTCTACAACAAAGTTTGCCAAACCTATTACAGAAAGGAAAAAGGCCTAAATTAATCATAATTGACTCCGTGGCTGCTCTCTTACGAAGCGAGTATGAGAACTCAAGCGTAAGAACACAATTAATACAAAAATTTGCCAGTGAGATATGGAAATTGGCAAATTATTACCGAATGGCAGTTGTATGTATAAATCAGGTAAGTTTTCATTTTAAGCCACTGATTGATTTAACAAATTTGCTCTCTTTTTTAACTTGATAATATCATTTTCGTTTTGATTATAATTCATATCAGACATTGGATATCAGTCACTTATGATGAGTTAAAATACAAATGAGTTCTACCTATTTCCTTAAAAATCCTTTAGGATTCTTTTACATAATTAAAGTGTGCAACTGCACTGTTATGAGAACTGCTTACTTTTTCTCATAATGGAAAATTTATCTTCGTTTACTTGAGGTTTTGTGTCCTAATAGTTGAACAGGTTGACTGCCTGGGGTTTGTGATTTTCCCCATCTCTAATGTATATATGAACAAGTTTTTGATACTTTCTCATTATCTGCAGCCTTGCTAAGAAATGTATTGGTAACTTCAAAGCATTTGTGACTAACTTTTCGCCGAGCTAGTACAGGAAATGCAACACAATTTTCAAAATGTCTGTGTACTGAAAATCCCATAAAAGAGGAACTAATCAATGAATGTTTTTAAAAAGCAAGAAATGTGGGTAATAAAACTCTTACCTTTCTCAAAAAATCCTTCTGCAGTTTTTTTATGCTGTTGTTCTCTTCAGGTACACAGCAATCTTTTTCATTAGGGACTAAAACACACGCACAGAATTGCACAATCTTAGTACTTGCAGTTTTTCACATTGCATTTCCATAAAATTTTGTCAATTAAGCAGTAAAATTCATAGCATGTGAACTTTTGCTCTTTCTGTTGTTGGTCAAAATGTTGTATTTCAGCAAAAATGTGCCGCTTTTTTTTTCCATCTGTACCATAGTTCCATTATGGTTAATTAAGCCACCAGTGGGCAAGCGGTAAAGTCGCTGAACACTGGTAGTTCAGTTCGAGGTTCAAATCCCGCAAATAGGCTGGCTGCATGGGCATTTTCATGTTTTTCCCATGTGTAACGTGTATATGAGCCAGTTTCCCTTAGAACGTTCTCCATGAAGGCATCCCTTCCCTTAGGCAGATAGCAGTTGAGGCTTATCTCATAAAATAAACTAAACCATCATGATTAATTATAAGGAAAACAAATATACTCTGTATATATCAGAAAATCAATCTGTTTAATCAGAAAAGTGAGTGTTAAATGCGAATGCATGCATGCTTAAATGGACATATGCTATGCACTTAGCCGAGTTCATACATAAATACTTGGTGACATTGTGGTTGCCTACTGCATTGCCTTATGAATACTTATTGTGCATGGTGGTAGTGCAGATAATTACAATGCACCCAATTTGCTAAACAGTTTTCTATGAGAGTTTTTTTCTTTATATAGATAATCTGTGTGTGCTTTTCCTAATTAAATAATTTAATTTAGACTTGTAGGTGTAACTGAGCATTTGGTCATACTTTTTCAATTTGCTTGATATCTTTAGAATGATGTCTCTTGCAGTTGTTGTGAAGGTTTTGCGACAGAATGAAAAGTTATGTCCTGGCAGGCTGTCATTCAATGACAGTTTCTTATACAGCATGGTAAATTTATTTACTAGCTGCTTCCTCAGAATTGTAGAAATTTGTGGAAATGACAAACAGTACAGGCAAACTGACAAATTTGTTAATTTTTTAAGTGTTTATGTTAAACATTCATACCATAGTTTGGCATATTTCTATAGAATTGCTGGGATTTATCCTCAAAATTGAAATTCCTGTCTTTTGATTTATTGAAATTAAAGCCTTACCATCCCCTTATGATACCGCTTCTGTATTTTTTATTACATCAACTACTGTATACGCAGGAAAACTTTAAAGAAAAGTGAAAAAACTCTCCAATGATAAAGGTAAAGCCAAAAGGTAAGCCGAAAGGGGCAATTTTCCCAGAAGAGCTATTAATTCCGTTTTGGCATTTTGCATTGATTCACTATAAATGGCAAATCACTTTTTAAATTGTTGCCACCAAATAGTAGAGCCCTGTATTATATTTAAAGAAATGAAATAATGAAGAATCTGTATATATGTTTGTCGCATTGTGATAAAACAATGGTACCTAGCACCATAAAATTTTAAATAGCATACCCCTCCACCTAAATATGGGCATCTGGAAGCCCAAATGTGGAATTTGTTTTACAATTTATTTTATGTTTTGTAAGCATTTATGAGTTTGATGAAGAAACTCAACGATTTCAAAGTGAGCAATGGCAACACTCTATGAAAAAACATTTTTTATCTCCAGCGTGTGAGACTATTGGAAATTTAAATATTTTGTGATATTGCTGTTGAATTGAATTTTATGGTTTAAGTGCATAGAACATGATATTTAATTAATAAAGGTAATGCACAAAACGTTAAAAAAAATTCCCTTTGGGCATAATATAAAATCTGAAGGCTTTCAGATAAAATCTGAAAGCCTTCAGATTTTTTTTAATCCTTTAGCTGTCAAGTTATTTTGATGATTTGGGTGCATAAATTGTAAATTTTTTTTACTTCAAAAATAAAATGTTTGCCATGCAATCAAAAAAAATTGCCACGTGCTTTGAACATAAAGCTCTATCCTGTGAAACCTTCAGTAAAGTACTGCCATCTGTTGAACTGTAGCTGAAATAAACTTACCATGATATATATTCGGGTATAACAATATAATACACTCAAAAAAAAAAAAAAAAAAAAAAAAAATTTCCCCGAGTAATTCTTGGGCTAGACATTTTGATATACCAGTGCTGTGTCTGAGATTATTTCAGGTATGACAGTAAAAAGGTTAAAATTATTTTGGAAGTGAAAGGCTTTCTGAAGTGAAGTAATAGAAAACTTGAAACATTAAACCTTATCTATGTATTTATAAAATTAATGACAAGTATGGTCAATAAAGACCTGTACTGCAAAATAGAAATAACTATGAGTAGTTTTAATACATGGTAATCATATCTGGATGTCATTGTATGCTGTATCTGTATACTGTTTTTTCCTTTCCTATTAAACACTGGCATTTTATTAATGTTTCCAATCCAACAATTTTTATGTTTAATTTTATAAAATTATTTTTAATTCAATAAAAACTAAAGTTTCTTTTTTTCACTTATTAGATAAGATGAGATTTCATAAATTATTTCTTAATATAAAATTATAATTGATTTAATAAGAAATTTTTTGTTGCAGGTCAGTGGATATAAACAAAACAATTTAAATGTTGGTTCCCTCACAGCTTTAGATATTCCATCTTTAGGATTGTTGTGGTCTAATATCTTAACCACTCGATGCATATTATCTAGACAAACTTCATCTGTTGAACAAGTAATACGTATTCTTGAGTTAGTCTATTCATCTTATCACCAAAATATATTAGTTAATTTTAAAATCACTACAAACGGTATTGAAATTATTTAAAAATATCGAAATTCAATGATTTTTCAGAATATTTTTCAAGTAAATGTTTATGAAGCCAGCACCTATTTTACTATGCATGAATCCTACATATCATGGAATTATAAAAAGTACTTTATATATATTTTTGTGAACTAGCATGCATAATTATGATGTGAAAATTAAGTAAGGAGACAGTAAATAAAAACTGATCCAAAGAATAATATGGAAAACTCATGGTTTATGCTATAACACTGATAATCAAAGAAGCAGTCATAACTCTGAATGAAATTATATTTATTAAGTGTACATATGACACTTAAGGGTGCAGAAATCTTATCAGACAATTGAAAGGTGCCCATTGTAATACGTGCTATCCAAGCAACAATTTCATATAAGGACTGAAAAATGAAATCACCAGACTGAGAGAAATGAGTTGTAGTAATATATTGATAACAGAAATACCCTTGTCCTTTGTGAAATTTCAGCTCATTTTTTTTTTATAATTGGACAGACAATCAGATTTATTACGTGTCCCTTGAATTTTTTCACAATAGCTCGGCATTCATTTTATCGTTTGCACAATATATAGTGTAGTTAATGTCAAAATAATTCACTCTATAAATTATATTTAAAGTAATATGTTTTTAACTATATTTTAATATTCAGTTTAAATCTATTTGGTATATTAAATGATATATTTAAATATCTTGTGTTATTATTTTATGAACTTCCTGAATTCTCTAAGCAGCATGGTTTTTTGAATCTGCTCATGAAAGAGCTGTATTTAAGCACAATTTATTGGCTAGATTTATAATATGACTATAACTTTGTTTTCATAACTTTCCATTCATTAGGATAATATGTAGGTCATTGCAGAAAATAAAATTAAAGTAACGAGGTGATATAATGTGACAATAAATCTTAAGACTGGATAAAAGCGGTAATGCCATTGTTAAGGAACTGTTGATATTTTATTCAACGGTTAAGGAAAATTATTGATATTTTATTCAGTTCTTTAATTAATAAAACCTCATATCTTCTTTCATCATATTTCTTCAGCCTCATGAAAATAAATAGAAAAACACATTGTGATAACTTATTTTTTTCGGGAACTATTAATGGGCAGAATGCAGTTCATAAATCTGTAGCAACAGCACTAAAATTTAGTATTAATGATTTTCAATATATGTGCCCATTTTCCTTCCCTCATTAGTAACTAGATTAAGATAAAGTGTTTTAATATGGACATGTGGACCAGACAATACAGTTGCACGAAAAAGAATTATTTTTCCATAAGCATATCACTTATGCTTAAATTAGTCATGTAACATTTTATTACTTTGCATAAATTACTTGACTAATTTATACAGTTAGATTCAATCCTACTTACAGTTGAGATTGCAAGCAGGTATTATTGAACTGTGCCATAGTGGTTTGTTTCTACGTTAATTTCCATTTGGCTCCAGTCCATTCTGGACCAAATTTCAATTATCAGTGGCATCTTCTTAATTTCACTCGCAAAATCTAGTTTGAATTCAAAATCTCATCTTTGTTCTATTTATCTTAGAATCTTCAACAATTATCATGTATTCTCAGTTTTGGGTATTATTAAGTATGGTCTCAGTTTTTCAAAATTTTATACAGAATAACTTTTTATATTAATTATAAAATGTATTTAAAATATATTTATTTATATTTTTACACAGTATGTATATACAGTTTGTTTTTAAATATATATTGAAATTTTATAATCCATTTCTTATTCCTGTAAATTATGATAGTTGAAATACTGTGTATAAATCTGTAGTTCAAACAAAGCAGTTTTTCAAGTGTTTTAAAACATGTCAGTTACTATTCACAATATATACAATTTATTTTTAAATTATATTTGAAATTTAGTAATTAATTTATTTATGATAGTTGAAATACTTTGCATAAATACACAATTTAAACAGTTTTTTGAGTATTAAAAAGTCATTACATGTGCACTTTACTTTTGCCATAATGAATTTCCACTGTATGCTTTTGAATTGCAATTATTTGTTCTTCCTTCTACAAAATATAAAAGTCAATTCATTTGGTATTAAAAAAAAGTGTATCAGTTTTTCATAATGTTAAATGTTAAACTGATTATGACACATAATTTTTTATTACAGATGTATTTTTTTATTATGTAATATACTATTTACTTTAATAAGTTATATATTTAATCATTTTTCCTTTCATAAATATCAATAAGATATTAATTAAAATGTTTCTACTTTTCCTTTCACATGAAAAATTTTAAGAATCCTTGTGTGAACACAAAGTAAAAATCTACATGTTAAAAACTAGATGACAGTATTAAACTTTACTTATACTAAAAGAACAGAAGACATTTCAAAAACATTTTTAATAAATTTCAAACATAACAAGCTATAATAAAATTTCTAAAGTCACTCAATTACATAAATATGCATTAGCTCTGCCTGCGAAAGTCAATATGCTTTCGTAATTGGGGTGAGGGAGATTTACTGCATGCTTTCTATATGCATACTCCATGTTTACTGAAATATATCTACTATAAAATTCTTTATCATTATGTCATACTTAGAGTAGTTTTAAAAGTACTCAGTCTATTTTACATATTTCATATTACTCAGAGTATTTAATAATTCAAAACCTTATGTAAATAACTAAGCATATGAACTTCATAAGAGAAATTATGAAGCTGCTTTTGCAGGCACAACTGTACACATGTCATGACAATTAAAGATTTAAAACAGCTGCATAAATATGCATAATTTAATGGCACATCCACGATTTATTTCATAACTGAAATTGTACACAAAAACAGCTGCATATCTTTTTTACAACCCATTTTTTTACAGAAAATATTTTGACTAATTTTATCATGCATATTAATTTTATTTTTATTTAATAATAAAAGATGCTATGTTTAATAATTCTAAAACCAATTTGTTTTCTTGTAAGGTCCCTATTATAAGTGGGACAGATTTTTTCTTTAATTAAATTACATGATTTACTAAAATAGTAGAAAACTAAGTTGTACTGAAGAATACTTCCAATCTGTTTTATTAAAAAAACTGCACTTGAATATGAGTAAAATACATTATACGAAAAACATACAGTGGCTCCCAAAAATGTTTGTACACTTATGATTTTCATTGAAATAGGGCTCTATCCATTAATTAAAAGTAAACTTTCTGAATGAGATTTTAATAATAAGATCTATAATCTATTCGTAACAAAATTACATGAACTAATTTTTAAATATAGAACTTTATTTTTAAGAAATTAATGATCAAAAAATGACAAACATTTTATCTCACAAAAGTCTTCGTGCACTTAAAAAAAAAAAAAAAACTTGACATATTTGTAAATATTTTCATTTTTTGTTAAATTAATATTTAGTAGGATATCCTTTAGCATCCACAACAGCTTTTAAATGTCTGGGAATAGATTATACTTTTTTTTTTTTTTTTTTTTTTTTTTGTAATTTCTGTATCAATGTTCATCCATTCTTCCATCATTGCTGTGTTTAGGTCCCGGCTTTCGTTTTTGATGTTCGTGTTTTCGTACTCTGTCTAACCTGTAAGTTCTTTCCAAATGTGTTCTATGGAGTTTAAATCTGGCGACTGAGGTGGCATTTTCAAAACCTGTGGACAATTATAGAGACACCACAGGCGAACGTTGAGAGCCGTATGCTAAGGATCATTATCATGATTAAAAATAAAGTAGTTTCCAATATCAAATTTTGGGCTGATAATTTTAAATTGTCTCTTAAAATATTTAAATAAAGAGAATGATTCATTATGTGGGGGGGGGCTCATGGCAGCATCAGGACTAGGCAATTATTCCAAATTGCCTAGTCCTGATGCTGCCATGAGCCCCATCCCCCACATAAGAACACCTCCACTGCCATGCTTAACTGTTCCAACTAAGTTTTTAGAACGAAGTTCCTCATTTTTCCTTCTCCATACAGTTATTAGGACCAAAATTGTTAAATTTGCTTTCGTCAGCAAACAGGACATTATTCTAGTATGCTTCGGATGTATTTATCATTGATTTTGCGAATGAAAAAGTAAGCTTCCTGTTTTTCTTGCTAACAAAAAATATTTTACACGTAAAACACCTATGTAATCCAGCTTCTCTAAGAATTCATCGAACAGTTTCAGGTAAAATTGAAGTAGAACACTTTGCATTAAATTCTGCAGAAACTTTTACAGAACTCAGACGCGGGGTTTTCACAAATTTTCTAATAATAAATCTCTCATCACGTTTAGTTAACTTCCTCGGTCAACCTTTTCTTACCTTTTTTTCAATCCAATTTTCTTCTTAAAGCGTTTTATCACATACTGCACTGTAAAATGGGATAAATGAACTGATTTAGCGATATTTCAAATTGATTTACCACTACTATGGTGAAAAATTATCAATTTTCAAATGCTGTTTGTAATTTCTTTACGACTGCAACCCATTTTTCAATAATAAATAGAATATTATGAAGTAAACAATAAAAAATTAAAGCAAACGATTTTTTAAATGCCACCAAAATGCAAAAAATAAAAAAAAAAAAAAAAGCAGTAAAGGATAATTCTAATTTTGATTTTATCAAAAAATATTTCAGTGTACGAAGATTTTTGTGAGATAAAATGTTTGTCATTTTTTTATTATTAATTTCTTAAAAATAAAGTTTCGCTATATTTTAAAAATATTTCATGTAATTTTGTTACGAATAGATTATAGATCTTATTTTTAAAATCTCATTCAGAAAGTTTACTTTTAATTAATGGATAGAGTCCTATTTCAATGAAAATCATAAGTGTACAAACACTTTTGGGAACCACTGTAAGTATATATGCACATAATATTTTTTGGTATAGGAATGAACTGTACGATAAACATAATTTATATTTACATCTTCCACTGGAATTTGAACAACTAATATTGAAGTACAAAAGCTGCTGGTACTTTTCCGTTTTGCGGGCGCAGGCGATAAAGTCGCCAATAATAGTACAAGTGATGCCAAACAAAATATCCTCGCTGATTTTTGTGAGATGAGATCACTTGAGGTCATGCGATACGAACAGGCGAATCAGGATGTTGAACCATGAAAGCATAAATTCTTTGAATGTTGAAACATGAAAGTAAATTCTTAAATTAATGCCTTTTTACAAATTTATTGTCGTTATTTATTGGCATTTTACAAAATTTTAAACCATATTAAAATGTTTATGCCTTCAAAATAAAGAATTCTTAGAACTAACATTTGTTAACATTTTTTATGTGTATACTATATGTTGTTGCCAATAAAGTCTGTTTGGCGGGATTTGCGCCAGCGAAACAGAAAAGTACCTAGCTGCTAGATATTATTTTTTATTTTAGATGCTAATATTCATATGATGATATATATTTTGATTCATATTTCAGCATACCTAACACGATTTAATTTGCAACACAAGTGATTTCCACCCCCATGAATTTGGCTGCAACAAAATACATATGACTAGAAGTTTTAAATATATTTAATGGAAGTAATATGTAGATGCAATATCCAACAACCGGAGTCAAATGCTTAATTGTCAAATACGTGCCTAAATGTTTTCACCATGGGCAGTTTGCCAACTGTGTAACTCAAATTGTTTCACCAATATCAGTATATAGTCATTAATATTTAGACCATATACACATGGCAAATTATTTTACAAATCTACAAAATATGCAAAACTAATGAAAGTTTCTGCCATAACACTAACAACAGTTCCTATACCAGAGTTTGAGGACTTTAAAATCACTGTATAAGTTTCAAGGGTTCCAATGGTTTTTTAATATTATTTTAAATAAGATTTATTTTGCAAAGTTCTACTTACTATTTTTTCAAATAATTTTTAATTGTATTACTTCAAAAGGATTCCATTTAAGTCTTTATGCATAAGTTTAATTTTCAATTTAGACTTTCTAGAATTGTAGAAGTAATAAATACCATTCATAAAAAAATTCTAAAATTTATATTTAGAATTTTGACATATCATTCTTTGTTTTTCAATCCATCCCTAGAGATGAATTAAAGCTTTGGATTTATAACATACATTCACTTTACTATAAATACATCCTGCTTAGGCAGTATTAAAACATTTAATTCAAAGAAAATATATTCAAAACAGGTTATCAGTTTTAGATAAATGAAAGGTCCTTTTAGATTATACTTTGTTAGACAGTTACCGAAAATTAAATACAGGGTTATATCAGCAATACTTATTTTTTCTAAATTTAAACATGAAAAAAATTTTGTTTCAATTATGAACCATTTGTAATTATAAAACAGATCGGAATGGTGTTTCCTGAGGGACAAACAAAGAGATAAGAAACTTCTTGTTTTGAAAAAAATCATTTTTTCCCTAAGAAACTACTAAAAGCATTCTAACCTTAAGCCTTTATATTATATTCTCATATTTTTTGGGCCTGTTTAATTTGCAGTGTTAAAATAAAGTGAGTATCAGCAGTATTAAATGTGTGCATGAAACAGGGCCTGTTTATAAGTGTCTATTTCAAGAGATAATGTAAAATTAAATAAGACACATAATAAAATTAAATTAAAGATAATGTAAAAACTTGATCAAAATAAAATATAGATTTCACAAAATAATTCTAGCTAATAACAAGGTTGCCACGCTACCTGGAAAACCGGAAAAAGTCAGGGAATTCGGAAATTGACCAAAAAATTCAGGGAAAAGTCAGGGAATTTAAGTGTTTTAGTCAAAATCTGGAAGAGTCAGGGAATTTCATACAACGATCCCGCCAAAAAAGGCGAGTTTTGCGCCGACGTCGGAAGAGATAACTTTTTCGGTGAATTGTGTATCCTGTGAGCGTCATTCGGGCAGCTTCAATTTGATTGTCTTTTAGAAAGGCAAAGCAAGTTTCCCGCAACTTTTGGTAGAATATGTATTGTAAAGAAGGATGCGCGATATATCTGTCGCCAAAGCTCGAAACCGGTGTTCGAAGTTTCGAAGATCACAGTATCAAGAGTTCATAAGAATGAATATCGTTTGAAATTTCTTTAAACTTTGAAGGAAAAGAAAATATTTTTGCCGCAAGTAAATTAATTAATGGATTAGTTATTTTGAGGGTGAAAAAAATTAAACTACGAGAATCCTTTTTTAAATTATTGCGAAATTCCGAAAAACGTTCTTTGATAAGACGTTTCTTATTGGATTTTCCAATAATTTAAAACGGATTTTCATAGTTTCTTTTTTGTCAAAGAACGTTTCTTCTTAAAACGTGTTCCTCAATTTCCTGTACACATCACAGAGAGGGAAGTTTCTGGCTCGCCAGGTTCCGTTCGCCAAATCCCTTGGTAAATTTCCCCTCCGCTTTCTAGTGGCATAATAGCATTTACGTCTATGAAACATTTTCTTCTTCACATACTAGACTTTCTTTGGTTACAATAACCTCCATTTGGGGATCACAGCATGGGATTTGGCAACATTGATGATTAGCTGTAAACGTGTCATTTTGGTGTTGGCGGACAATTTTCAAAATCGTGCGAAGGCCGTACCGTATAGTACTAAAATTTACCGCAAAATCTTTTTTAAACCTTTTTTTTTTTTCTTTTTTCTTTCTAATAAATACCTTGTCATTTTGCAGTAAAATAAAAAGTATATAGTAATCAGTCATATAGTAATGACTGAGACTCAATATTTTATAGTAATCAGTCATCTAGGCTAACCATGTAATATAACTATATTCGCTAAAATATCGTTGATTATTCTAATTCAATTTTTAAGTAATTATCTTTATTTTTATGTTATTGATATCATTTAATCTTGCTTCTTCCCTCTAAATTTATTTATCATTAGTAAATAATATTTCCAAATTTCAAGAAATTTTCTCTGGCACAATCCTGAAATTAATTCTAGCAGTATGATGACATACCATCATGAAATTTAATGCACATATTTTTTCCTTATGTATGCTGCGAAATAAATATAAAATACCTCAATTTATTAAAAAAATATCATTAAATAGATTTCTTTCTTTCGTTTAGCTGCAGAATGTCTGCAAAAAAAAGCCTTATTTTATTCCAGATTGGGCAAATTCTAATATCAATCTTCAGTGGAGAAAACAACTCTTATTATAATTATATTTGTGTTTTCAAGTGTTAAGGTGCCTTGTAAGAAGACACCTCACAGAAATTAAATTTACCTAAAATCTAACCTAACTATTTAGCATTGTGTTGTGATTTATAAGAACCGGATTAGACTCGTTTTGAACTGGTGATGATAATGAGCAATAATTAAATAAAACGTACAATTGTTATCCAATGTATATATCTTAAATTTTATTACATTTCTTAAGTGGAAAAGTAAACAAAGTGTACCAAGAATAATTAAGAATAAATATCCTCTGGGATTTATTGAATAATTAAGTGAATATGCTACACAATACTATAATTAAAATACCTCTTAGCACAGCCAACGTACATTATGCGGATAGACTGGAATTTTCTTGAAACATACCTGGAAAACCTGGAAAAGTCAGGGAATTTCATTCTCCTGTTTGAGTGGCAACCCTGTAATAAGGCCCATAGGATATTAACTCATTATGACCACAAAGGCTTGAGTTATCTGTAGAGTAGAATTTAACATACTGCCCTAAATTTAAAGATTTCCTTCCCTTATGAAAATTCTAACTAATTTGTTCCATGTTTCTTGATTTTCAGATCAAAAGAAAACATTTACTTCAAGATAAGTAAAACTTAAAAAAATTGGGCACAACAGCAACCTCATGTTTGGCATAGATTTTGACTCGAAATTAAAATCTATGCCAAACAAGAGGTTGCTATTTTGCCTAATTTTAAGATACATGCTTACTGTTAACTCAAAGAGACATTGATATTTATATTACTTAATTATTACCTTTATGAACATATTCAAGATGTAAAATTTACATGTGAGCTCATTGTACAAACCCTTCCCTCCTCCAGAAAAATATCTCACAAGTTGTTTTATATTTAGGCTAAACAATATATACACAACTAGAATTTGACATTATAAGAAGTGTAGGAAACACATTTCTGTATTGCACATGACAAATACACAAATGTTCATTTTTTTATCACAGAAATGGATAAAGAAAATATATTTCAATCCATAATGGAAAGAAATATGCAAATTATAAAATTCATTCAAAGTATTTTTGCAAAGTATATTTAAATACACATAAAATAGCATTTATAGTTTTTTTTTAATTTGAATGTGTTTTAGATTTAAAAAGTGTAATTCTGTCAGAAGAGAGCTGAGAATTCAATACAAATTTATAAAATTCCTATTTTCATAATAATACAATTAAAAAATAATACTTTTTTTTCGATAAAATTCAAATTTTTTGTTTCAGTTATCAAACTGTGTTTGTCATTAGGTCATCGGTCAAAAATAAATATTCAACATATCATTAGATCCCTGGCTATTTTGTAAATATATGAAAATATTTATTATTTCATCTCTCATTCATATTATTTAAACATGCAATATGGTTCATAATGAGTAATGTATAAATTTCTGTCATAGAATGAAGCATAAAGGTAGAAATATTTATCTATTTATACTCTCCTCAACTTTTTGCTCATTAGCATTAACTTATTACTTGCTTATTATAATCTAAATGAGTAGCCTTTTAAATTATTAATTAATAATAAAACAGTATTTTTAAAACTTCAGTTGCAATTATTAATTTGGAATTACTTTTAACTAATTAATTAGTTGTAATTAACTTATTTCAGAATACTAACACACAAAATACAAACTTCTTATGAAAAACCTATATACTTTTCTGAATTAAAAAAGCTAAGTTATAAATAAATTACTTTTACTCCAAAAACATATACCATATTTCCTTGTGTATTCCTTCTTCTCATCCAAGGTTATTATTGTCCGAAAATTGATTGAGATAAATTATGCAAATAATTTAATTTCTGAGGGACATGGTTGCTGTATGCACATAACAAATGAGAAGTAGTCATGGATAAATGACAGGTAACTATAACAATATTATTTCTGTATCTGCATTTCTACTTCACTCTTATTGCCATCTCTGTTACTCCTTAAACCTAAAATAATCTATAAACAAAGAAGATGAATATGCAGCCAACACCAAGTGTTGGTTTGTGCTTGCTTTGCTGTAATAGATTGGTTCTTGTGTAAAGTTTGACAAAAAGAAAAGGTTTGTAATGGCCTTCAGAGGTAGTATGTCAGTATTTGCCTTTGTTAGTAAGATGAAAACAGTCACTATGAGGAATCCATTTTAAAAGTGAAGAAAGTTTGTTTTCTGAATGCATTGAGAAAGGCAAAAATTACGTGACTATTTAAAAAATTTTCAGGACCTAGTACAAAAAGCTACAGAGGTTATACACAAGGAAATATGGTATTCTTATTTGAAAATGAATAACTGACTAGAAATCTAGTAGAACTGATAAAAATACAAAATAAGTAATTAAATTTGCTTTTAAAAGTAGATGAATTCTAAGTGCACTAAGATTTTAGATTATTATAATTTACTTTCCTAACTACATCTACAGCTTCAAATTTTAGTATAATGCGTTTAGTCTTCAAAATCATAATAGCAAGTATTTACTTATCCATTCTACTTTTAAGTTCTACACATTTTTAAGGAAAAGTTCTATCTTCTGAGGCAAGAAAATATATAACAAAATCGTTATTTAATTTATTTTAGATCTGAGAAAACATTAATGCTTTAAATTTTTTCCCCTGATAACTTTTTATAAAATCAAGAATTTTGTATATTAAGAAATGTGTCTAAAGTTGAATAGAATATCAAGACATTGAATTATCTTGATTAAAAAATTTCTTTAATAACTGATGAGAAGCATTGATTATGCCCCAGGACAAAAATGCTCGAGTGTAATTGACATGAACACCTAGATACATTTTCCTTATACTGTGTCCTCTTTCTTGGTAAGTCAGTCTAAATGCCTCTAACATAGATGAAAATGGTGTCCCACAACATACTTGCATTTGTGTTTTAACAACATTTACAGGATAAAATATTGTACTGCACAGAGCACCTACAAATGCACCACTAATAAAATCATTTATTAAATTCTGTAAAACAGAATTAGAGGAGGGTAGCAGTTCTTTGACTTCATCTTTAAGTCCAAAAAATAAAATATTGCCAACAGAATTTCGTAAAATAATGGGAGTAAATCCCCTGTAGTATTCCTTAAATCCAAATTTTCTCAGTTCAATGAAAGCATGGTAAGTGTTCCTAAATTTCGTATTGTAGTGACCATCTTGAAGAAGTGTTTGTACTCTTTCAAAAGGTGTAAGAATGGCTTCAGTGCTTCCAGCTAATGTGGCTGCAGCACATAAAACAGTTAGTGAAGGAATGGTGGGAAATTCATTTGAGATAATTTCACCATAAGTTTTATAGGTACCAAACATAAGTGATACAGAAGCTGTTTTCTGTAAGAGTGGTGGAAGACATCCTCGATACAAAAACTGCATGCCTTCTTTTTTAAGTTCGCGGATTGCACGTTGCGAATCTACACCGTGTAGCATTTGACGAAACATGACTTTATTTATAGGAAAAGTAATCATGATGTTGATAAATGCAGACCCCCAGCCACAAACGAATTCTTCATACTCTTTTAATTTTTTTAAAAACTCCTTTGAGTGTATATTATTTTTAGAACTTTGAGCTGTTGCAACTGCCATATTACTGATGCAACACATTGGGATCTAGAAGATAAAGTTATGCTATTAAAAACAAAGTATTTAATAAATATTAAACACAAGAATTATACAAATCACAAGGTATTCAAATACATGAAAGTTAAGGAGAAAAACATTAGTATTTTATTATTTTTGGCTAACTATGATTAAGACTTAACCTGCTTTTTCTATGATTTCCCTACCAACAGAAAGAAATCAGGAAAGGCTGCTTACTTAAGATTAGAAGTTGCTCATCTGGTACTCCACACTGTATGAGTGGCCACATCAGTCTGTGCATAGCATTAAGGTGAACTTCATATTCAGTTTATTGAGCAAAATACTATCAGACTGATTTTGGACCCCTCCCGCATATAATCCCTAAAGAAATAACTTGAATGTGTTCACATGTACTGAGTTAATCACTGAATGTCCTCTTTTTGAGAATTAATCCGGTTAAAAAAGACATGATGGCACAGAAACAAGGGCTGCAATTCTTTTCTGACTTCATTGTATCTGGATGTTGTGTCCACTTGGAGCTTAAATTCTGGAGAAAGCAAGCATATGTTGTACTTTCATTTTAAAAAATTTAAGATTTAATAATAATAGATAAAAAAATATTATACCATACTCAAACCTTGGAACTAGTTAGAGGATCCTGCTGCATTTCATAAGACAAGAACTAAAAGTTTAATTGATTGATAAATTTGAAATATATCAGCAATTCATTTTATCAGTTATTATAAAGTAGTTTTTTAACAGGTTCAAAATATTACTGCCAAGAAACAATATCATATTTCCCTAATTTTGGAACTGTGTTTTGTGAAAGTGATAACTGATATTCTCGAGACAATTCGGCAAATTAGAATATTTAGACCTGAAGTGCTGCAAAATACTCTTGCACAGAACAAATTAAACAAATTTATATTTGCATCCAAAAATTTGTCTGTGTACCATTTTCCTTTAATCATAAGATAAAAATAACCTTTTATTTAACTTAGTCTGTTTTAACAGTTTTCCTTAAAAAATAAATCAATATTTATTTCATTTATCAGCATTTTAAAAAAATACTTTTGAATAGTTATTCTAGAATTGCCCTAATTATAAAGTACTTCCTGGTCACTGAAAAATTATTTAAATTCTATGTGCTTTTAGGTTTAAATAAAAATTAATTTTATTATACAGACATCTAAATGTGTTTACTGCATGCCAAAATTGAAAACATTACCCTTAATAATTTTTATAACAACTAGATGCTGATTTTTGGCCAAGAATTACCTTGATTACCAAGCAGTGAGCAATTATGATAAACAAGCTCATAACATCCGCACTTTTGTTTAATGTAATCCTAATTAATTCTCAATATGCCACTTTTTTTTTTTTTTTTTAATGAATGAGGATATAAATTAACTGCTGTTAATTTACATCCTATATATTTATATTATGTTCTCACATTTTGAAAAAAAAAAATTAAAATTAGCACCTTCTTTCTACAGAAGTCATGCAGTGGATTATTTCTCAAGTTATGGAACCCTGCCATAAAAAAAAAAGGGTGTCATAATGAATGGCCAACAAATAGTAATAGATTGGAACAATTACCAGTGTGAAGTTTGTGCTCCTAGCATTCTAAACAGAACTTCCAAAAAAATTGGAAGGCTTAACAAAATAGTAGAAATCAATGAAAGCCTTTTTAAGAAGTTAAAAAATTAAGCGGGTCAGATACTGACTATTTATTAAACAATAAGGCATCAATTCCTTTAGAATTCTATAGGAATGATTGGCACAACTTTGGAAAAAAAAAAAAATATAATGATCATTTTAAAGAATAGATTCAAAACAATTGTTTCCTTCAGTAGTTCTGTGGAAGAACACAGTTTCTTCCATTGCAAACAATTCTCGCAAGAGCATATTTTAAAATAAAGACAATAAAAAAATATCATCATGATATACCCCCCAAAAAATCATGGTATAAAATCTGTTAAAATTTGGAATTACAAAAGAATGCATATATAAATGGTCATTTTGCTCATAGATATAGTTTGCCACAGTTTATTGCAATCTTATAATTCGGCAACTTCTTCCAAGGTCCACTAATGCATAAGTGCTTCTAAGGTGGTTAATTAAGGAACAATTATCCTAATCTGAATATGGTAGATAGTTAAGCAGTTCATAATAAAATTTAAAAAACTTTAAATAAAATTATGATTTTATTTTAGTCTGTTATTTTTCATTGCTTGCTTTCATTAAAATAACCTAGAAATGTTTAGTGATATTTTGCAAGCCAAACATGTCAGGTTTTTTCTATAGTAGGAAAGAAAGAAGCACATTTTGCCTTTGCAGAGTCGTAGCTAGGGTTTTCAGCGCCCAGGGACAACAGAAGATTTCGTGCTCCTATTGCTTGCCAAGGATGGATAACATTTAATTCTAAAATGTTGTATTATCAGTTTGCCGCCCCTTGGATTCTGCGCCCGGAGACAGATGCCCCCCTCTAGCTACGCCCCTGTGCCTTTGTCACACATTTATTTCAAATAAAGGCAGTGATGATTTAGACAATCAATCATATTACTATAGACAGCCAAAATAAGCATTTTTTGTTAGATGCTTAAATACCAGTCCCCCCCCTAAGAATTTTCAAAACTAGATTTAAAAAAAAGTTCATATTGTGGATGATACTGTACCTTATTTTATATACACAGTACAAAGTCTGAGAACAGGACTTTTTTAAAATTCTCGTTTTTAGATCATTAGTTTAAATCTTTTAAGATGACCTGTAGAAATCATAAAATTATGAAATAATGAAGCATTTATTAACTTAAAAAGGAATCAAAATTTATTTAAAAAAAGCTCAACATGTTTTGTTTTATTAAACATTTCTTTAAATGTAAGTTGTTGAAGCTGCCTTGTTTTTGTGCTAATACTTTGCCTTTTTTTAGTAGGTGTAAATCAACCATGAACACTGGTGGAATGTTTTGGTTTGAGATATATGTGAAACAAAATAGCAGCTACAGAGCCAAATTATTGATCATATAGATTTTATGCTCATAAATAATAGTGTTCTCAGCATGGAAGTGTTTTATTTAGCTGAAGTAAAATTAAGAATCGGAACCCTCCTCATGCTTTATTATAAAAAAAGCATATGCTAAAGCAAGATGCTCCTATCAAAATCTGATTCTTCCTCCCTTTTCACAAATTATTTCTAAAAAATAATTGCCGTGGTCCCGATATTAGATCATTCTAAATACTGCATATGCAGATTTCAGATTTTATACCATATATAAAATATATCTTATAATAAAAAAAAGCCAGATTTATTAACAAAAAAATAATTTATTTTATTTTTACTTTTAATCTGATTTACATTATTTAAATGAGTAACATGCATTACAAATAAAGTTTGTACTCCATTTTTCAAAAACGTCCTCATTTTTACTGAAAATAACTTCTGTTTCTGAAAAATTTCATCTGGTGATCCAGATGATCTATGGGTGATCCTACTCAAATGATGCCTTCTTCGTCAAGGAAAGGAGTTAATTGTATTACTCAACTGCTCACACTTTTTAATTCTCTTGATGTTTTTAAACAAGAGAGCTCTTGAGAAAAATAAGATTCTTGGATGTAAGCTCATCAGTTGTCAAAAAACCTCTCAAATGATTTTCGGATGAGTTTCGACAGTTGTAAATGAATCTTGCGCATAGAGCAACTATACGACGTAATTTTGTCCAAGATGAATACCGTTTAAAAATGTCATTTTCCTTTACTGTACAAGATACTGAAACGCACGTTTTTCTCTCTTCTCTACGAACTCCTTCATAATCTACATCAGCACAAAGATGTTCGCTGTCAGGACATGTTTCAAAATCTTGTGAATATAACCAAGTATGTCTCATGAACTATCGCTCACAATTCAGAAATTCAGCTGGAAACATTCCTCTTGTACCTGAATCAGCTGGGTTCAGCTTTCCGTTGATATGGTTCCACCTTACATTACGAACTGTGTTTTGTATTTCGGCAATGCGGTTTGCAACAAAGGGAACCCAACGGTATAATTCTGCTGATATCCAGGACAGTACAACAGTTGAATATGTCCAGGCCAAAACATTATGTATAGGAAGCTCTAAATGTTCTAATACTGATTTAAAAAAATTCACTAACAAAACTATGGTGCATAACTCTAATTGTGGTAGTTATCGCACCTTCAGAGGGGCAACTCTCATTTTTGATGTTTTGATGTGTGATTGCACTTTGAAGTCCAAATAACGTGATACTAAACGCAAATAAATTTCTGCACAGTAGCCTTTCTCGGAGGTATCACAAAATGCACAAATATCAATATAGTTTAGATCAGTAATCAAAACAAATCTCGGTATTTTTAATTGTTGAATAAGATGTAAATCATTTCAGAAACTGTTTGATTTGTTAGCAATCTCATCACTAACAGGCTCATCCCACGATAAATGAAGTTTCCACATGTCTTGTACATGTAATCCGGACTCGTCGGGACTTAGGCGATTCCGGATTAGGGGTTTTTCGGATTATAGATCATCAATTTAATTCTAGTAAGATGGCATGCAGAAATAATACATTTAAAAATATGAAACTACAATTTATGAAATAAAGAGCAATCATGATCTAAAGGGTATCAAAATTTACAAAAAAAAAAAAAAGCTTAATATTTATTTGTTTACTTTAGCAAACATTTCTATCAATGCAAGTTGTTTAAGTTGCTTCATTTTTTGTGCTAATACTTTCTCTTTAATTCTATAAACAGACATAATTTCTTGTTCAGTTACAAAGTTCTACTGTTCAAGTCCTGTAATTGCTGTATCGAGAATACCAACTAACTTGTCAATCAACATTTTTTCGTTTTCAATAACATTCTCTGTCACTTTCTTCACTATCGGAAGCACGCATGGGTAAATGCTTTACTGGCTTTACGCAGATGCGCACATGCATAAGTTTGTGGCTTTGAGGTCCGGATTATTGTACTTTGTACTGTATCAAAATTTTGATATAAATAATACAAGGAGTAAGCTAACCCAATGGGTCAAATATTTTTGCTAAATCAGAAAGGATATCTCTTTTAGTGTATTTAAACTTTTCTCCAGAAATGGACACGGAAAAGTTAAAGTAGTCTTCATGGGGGTTCCAATTAATTCCTAAAACTTTGATTGAGCTATCATCTTGAATTTTCATAGCATCAGAATCATTTCTCAACTTTTGGGTATATTCTCTAACACTGACAAGTTATTGGATGACCATTTATGCAGAAGATATCCTCCACGTTCTAACATTCGCAAGAGTTGATTACTAGATTTTTGCACTCTTCAGTGTTTTGAGCACCTACCAAACAATCATCTACACAAAAGTTTTGAAGTACAGCCTTCGAAGCTAAAGGTTAGTTATTCTGCTCATCGTAGGCAAGTTGGTATAAAGCACGAGTAGCCAAAGATGGAGCTGAGGCAGTGCCATATATGACAGTATTAAGTTGAAATTTTTTAATAGGATCACTTGGATTGTCCTGCCAAAATATTCTTTGAAAGTCTCTATTCTCTTCATTAACTAGAATTTGTCTAAACATTTTCATAATATCAGCTGTGACAGCTACAGGGTAACATCTGAATTTGATCAAAGCTGGAAACAGCTCTTGTTGTATTCTAGGACCTGTCATCAGTCAATATGTCGTTAAGAGATAGTCCTGATGAAGACTTACTAGTAGCATTAAAAACCACATGTATTTTGCTCGTAGAGCTAGATTCCTTAATTACTGCATGATGTGGCATGTAATATGCCTGACTTGGGGACTCTGAACTACGAACTGGTTCCATGTGCCCAAGATCCAAGTATTCTTTAATGAATTGTTTATATATCTCAAGGGATCTTAAGAGATTTCTCTCTAAAGATTTAAATTTTTGTAAAGCAAGAAAGAATTAAAGCTTTTTAAATTCAGCGTGGTCTTTTAGAATTACCCAACCTTGAAGGGTTATCTTTAAATGGAAGTTTCACTACATAATGACCATTTTGATCACGGAAGTGTGTTGTTTTAAAGAATTTTTCACATTTTTGATCTTCACTCAAGATACATTTGACTTCAGTAATGGAGTCTAAAGATCAAAATCTTTCAACTAATTTGTTTGTATTCAACTGAATATTATTCACCGTATAAGTGTTAGTTAGATTTGAATCATCAGTAATAAGTGTTCCCGGATGTGATCCACCCAAGTGAGAACAAATTGCAAAGGGTAATGATTGTCCTCTCTTTATGATGTCTCCCTTAAACATAGTAAAAAATGCATTTACACCTAACAAAATATCAATGCGTTTTCTTTCATAGAAGTTAGGATCAGCTAAGACTAGATCATCAAAATGTTTTGCAATTTTAGAAGGAAGCGACATGTTAGGCACATCTGAAGTTATCTTTGGAATCACAAATGCATATGTTCAAAATTTGGAGTTTGACTCAAAGTGGAGGGGTAAAGATCAATTCCACTTCTCTACTAGTTACAGTGTTGAATGAACCAAGGCACGACACTTTTTGTTTCTAGCGTGGTCTTTTAGAAACTCGAGTAAATTATCTAAAGTACCTAATTCATCTTTTTTCAAGGTTCTTTCCCACGAAAATTTTATGTTTTTATCTAATTTCTCAGTTATCACATAAACAAAAAGAACATCAGACAGATCAGAAACTTCTAGCTTAAGAGTTCTCGAAGAATGTACATATTCATTCACTACATCAACACAATGTAAAATAGCTTGAGCTGAATCAGAAACATCTGGCAAATTAAACATTTTATGGATTAATGCATTAGCTAATTCTCTTTTATTACAATAATGTTCCGGTAAAAGTTGCAATGCTATATCATAATTAGCATCAGATATTGGAATAGACTCAATAATAGACAGAGCCCTTTTTTTTTTACAAGAAGCCTTTAAATATTGAAACTTCTGACATTTCGAAATATTTGGATTGCTATCTACACTTGCCTTAAAAATGTCATAGAAACTAATCCACTCTTCTATATTTTTCCCTGCAAAGGAAGAAAGTTCTAATTTTGGTAATCAAATGTCAGACAAATTTTTGCTACACAACTTGTTTCGATAACAGAATCACTGGAAAGTTTTTATAACTTTTTATTTATAGTTATCCATAATCCATCTAAAGTTTCTTGTACTGTTTGTTGTTCCGTAATGATTGTATCACAATCTTTTCAGGACACAACAAAAATATTTCCTCAAAGATAGAACAAAGTTCACTGTTAAACATTGTTATATTGCTTTTTAGAACCTTTTTTTTAGTTAAAACTGGTTTCAAATCAGCCATTATGAATAAAAATAAATATTATACTAACAACTTTTAGCAAAAGAAGAAGGAAAAATTGGAACGTACTCATCCCAATGCTGAGGCTTCTACACTACACCATGCCACACTCATAATCCACAAAACTGAAACTGATTTCACCACACATGTCACACGCATAATCCACTAATCGAAAGTGATTTCACTTGCTAATTTGAATAAATCACATCATATCCAAAGCTCCCTAATTCAATTCACTGGTTGCACTGACCAGAAAATGCATAAAGAATAAGTTAAAAAAAAAAAAAAAAAAACAAAGCAGACTGCATTATCACTTATTTATTTTACATAACACTTTGAAATAGGAGAAATATGCCGTCCACGTGATGACACAACATACATCACTCAAAGCACTGTAGCAGCTAAAAAAAAAAAAGGGGGGGAACACATAAATCACATTTTTGAAAGTATGTTACCATAGCAACCAGTTGAATCATCAGGCAGTAGCGCCATCTATTGTTGCAAAGACACACTAGAATTCATTTGAGTAACTGACAGTAAATTGACAGCTAAATATAAAGTGTGTATCTAAATGATGTATGTAAAACATGTCCATGGTATACGCATGCGTGAGTTGGCTACCATAAATACAGCAATATTACCAAATGTTGAAGCTGGGGGTATGGATAATCAGACAGTACCCAATTTCCTTTTGTATAGAATTTAGTAATCAGAAAGAGGATAAAAAAATTAAACTATCATCACAGATTTTTAATTTGCATACTATTTTATTTTCAGCTTAGACACATTGCCATTTTTTAAATATCTCTGTTAAAATAAACTATTTTAATGGTTTAACCAAGTTTGAATAGTTTTTTTCACATAGCACATTGACCCACAACATTATCTTTTGTTTTATTTACCTAATTTTATTTTTTCAATAACTTGTGCATTTGAATCTTTACATATCAATGGTTTATTGGATACTCAATGATCTTGAAGACATGTTATAAATGTTCTTGAAATCAAAGTCTTTCACTGACGGCAGTATATGTTATAACCAATCTATTGTATCAGGCTGCACAGACAAAAATAAAAACTTGGGATATGTTCGAAAATTACTGAATCATATTGTCTGTAAGATAAACTATAAATAATACTGTCTGTAAGATAAGCTATAAATAATACTGTCTGTAAGATAAACTATAATACTGTCTGCAAGATAAATTATTTATATTACACTGTTTGTAACATAAACTGTACAAATGAGCCCATAGGAAAAATTATACTACTCATCTCAGACATGATAAATGTCAAATTTAAGAAATTAAAAAACATTTTCATAAAAAGATATCCTTCACTGTTAAAGCCTTCATAATAGAACACTTTAGTGGCATTTGAAATTTTCATGCTATATGCTTTATCATGCTTATTCATGTAAAAATGCTTTATCAACAATTAAGTTTATTAAATTTGATGATAGTATAGCATTTTGGCCAATTTAACAATAAAGCATCAAAAGAAAAAAATTCTTATTGGAGATATGTTTTTTAACTGATATAGTACTTTATGTTCATACTAAAACTATACTACATAGCTGTACTTCCAACTAAGATGCTTTTGAGAATCGCAAATGAATGTATTTGATGGTCACATTTGAACTGGTGAATGGTATTCTTACAGAATAATACATTAACATATAATAATTATCACAACTGATGCTTATTATACTCTTAGAAACACTGATCCTAATTACATCATTATTTCTATTGCAGGTGGTCATTTCACTACACTTACATACCTATTCTGATTTATCGTAAAGAAATTTTTTTAAAAACTAGTTGCCATTACTTAAACTGAAAACATATTTTCTTTTCAAAAGGATTTGAGGATTTGTTACACTTTAAACAGTTCTTTGAGGATAAATCAATATTCTTATTTTGAAAATAAAATTCATAAGTTGCATTTTCAATACTGTTCTTGTTTTATACAATCAATTTAATTTAATAACCTATATATATTTGATATAAGACATATTATATAGTACTGCATACATATATATATGTAGTTCAATGCACAAATTCTGCAGTAAAATTGAGACTAAATATAATTAAGCATATAACTGTTCTTAGGTTTTACATGTTAAGGAAAAATTAAGTTTTTCAGCTCATATTAACATTTTTGCAAAAATGCTTATGCACTATAGCATATCCAAACTGATATGGTATGACAACAATAAAACACTCCCATAACTGTATTTCTTATTCAACTTTAATAAAATGACAATCTAGGTATCTGAAATTACAATTACGTTTGTTCTTAACAACTCGTGAAAACCAGCAATTTTACTTTCTTTTTCTCAGGACTTTCATTAACTTCTATTTATGAATAGAATTAAACTATGACTTTTGTGATGATTTAAATATAATTAAAAAAATAATAATAATAAAATGCCTAATGTTACAAAACAGCAAAAAAAAATTTTTTTCAGATTAGTGTTTAACTAAAACATCCCTTCTGCTTTACATGTAAAAAATTTATGCATTTCTGCAACTGCTTAGTTGTACTACCAGGAAAAAGTTCCAATAATAAGAGGTCACAAGAATAACAGCTTTCTTTCAATGTCTACTTGCAATACGCCCCAAAATCTTCAAAAATGAAGTTCTAATATATATTTTATATAATTAAGATCAAACTAAATTGTGTGTACACGTTTTTCGCTTACTGATCTACGTGTAGGTATTACATTAGGATAAATTACGAACATATTTTACTTGAAACATCAAACGTACATAATATGGAGGTCTGCATTATAAAATTAAAGTTAACATACCGATACTTCGATGATGTTAACGCCTTTTCTGAAATTCTATACTTGTCATACAGATCTCATATACTTTAATAAAAACATCTTTTACCACGCTGACTGCAGATCAGTAAAAGGTCATGAATGTTTTCAACTGTTTTGCAGTTTCACTTGTTAGTCAGCTGCATCAGTATGCGAAAATCAATACAGTCCTTTTAAATAACATAGTGTTCGGTGCTAGACTACTTCTTCATGTAATCAATGAAGTATCACATTTTTAAAAGGAAAAGAAATCAAAATTATCATATATATATAAAAAAATAAGTTTAACATGATACCACAGATTATCCAAAAATTATTATGCTTGTAGCTACGATTTTTAAGTGATTTAAAGTTATATTCCCTAGCGGATATTTTAAGAACAAACGCCTATCGACCATTGAACAGCATATCAAAACTAGGTATAGTCTCCAACAAGCATCCACGTTTCGTAATAAAAACAAAACATATCCGAAGCAGATGTGCCGGCAAAATATTTGAAAAGAAAGAAGAGTGTTATTAATGCCATGCATCGACGGCATATAGGAAAGAGTGATCGTTCGGTGCGTGAATTCATTCCATACTCTTTATCTAAATAATTTATGATATCTAAATAAATTTTATGTTTATTTATTTGTTTCTTATTCATCATGTACTTTAGCAGCAGAAAACAAATGAATCTAATGATGAGAACGAAAAAGAAGAAATTGTCCATGAACGTGATTGCCGATGTGAAAGACTGTCTCTTTACGGACGTTTATGTGAGCGTCTTTCCTTTATGAAATATGTGATTTTGGTACTGATAATACCACCAATTCTGAATTTAGCTGCTTTAAAAAGAGAAAGTTTCGTACTTCTTCCCAAGCAAGGTATATTTCTATATAACAGTTTTATTTACAATTTTAAATTATTTCTAATCCTATTTTTGAGCTAATCGTATTTCAATATGACATTCAAAATGTGCACTCCAAGATATAAATAGAATGTTTTGGTTGGAATTTCAAACATGTCTTATAATGTGTTCTGAAAATCATATCCATTTTATATAGGCTGACAAATATTTAATTGGAAAAGTTAACTTTAGCTCTTAGTCCATTTAATTACATTTCTTGAAGAACGTCTGCATAAAAGAGATTGACTTTCATTTTCTTGTGAAAAAGCTTAAGAAATGCTGGATCATTTGGCTAAAGTGCAGAATCGCTCACTTATTTGATTGGTGTTTGTTTGGCGCTTTTTACAAGAGTAAGAAGATTTGGATTTTTGTGAATTTTTTTTGACTTTTTAAGTGAAAATAGATCAATGTGTACATGGATAAAGTCAAGGGAGTGCGCAATGCCATTTTTGTGCCATTCTGGGATGTTTTTTTAAGTGAAAATAGGTTGATGTGTACATGGATACCGAGTATGTGCGATTCTTAAAAACGTGCCAAGCAGTGGGCGATTCTGCACTTTCCCGGATCATTTTATATGGAAGGTCATGGTTTATTTTAATTAATGCAGTATGTGTAAGGCAATGTTTTAAATTAAATTTGGGATCTGATGTTAAATGTGCTAAGATTTTTTTTTTTTTTTTTTTAAAGGAAGAGTTCTACTTATTAAATTAGAAGCATTGGGAATCAAAAGTGGGATAAGTGTAGAAGTAAAGCATGCAGTTAAATACAATGAAACCTGGATTCACATTTTTTTCCCCCACAGAAATTCATGTCAAATGAATTAATTTGTTCATGGATGATTGCTTATTTGAACTTTATTACAGTACTTTGTATGCAAGTTCATAACCAAAATGATGGAAATCATTAAACAAATTAAAAAAAAAAAAAAGATATCCTCAGTATTAAACAGGTAAAACACTTAATTTAATTTTACTATATCTGTGCAAAAGAGAGTATATGAGAAGATTGTATAGGTAGAAAATGATGAGGAAGATGTTATTTCTTGGATGTGAAATTCTCTTCTACAAAATCATCAGATAAAAGTGCTTATGCTGTAGTTTTCTGCTGCCTTATCAGGCTGATATAGTTATATGAAAACATTCTTATCCTATTTTGCATAAGTTTTGCAGATCATTGCACAGGCTCTGCAGAACTTGTGTCATTTTTCTTATTCTTTTTATGAAGATTATTGTCTTTATTTCTTCTGGAGTTCATTTTTGTGGTCTTCAACTAACTACTCCACATCTTGTAGCCCATGATTCCTGTAAGACTCAGTATCGTTATAGGTAACCAACTAAAAAAGTATTGAAGACCTAAGTCACCTACAACCCAATCTGGGTAGCCCAGTCTTATAGACCTACAACCCATTCTGGCTATAATTTCTTCCAGGCTGAAATTGTAGTTCTATAAGTTACGCGGCCAAGATTTGTGAATGAGAGTTAAGCCATGGAAAATATTAAAATGGTGTTTTCAGAAGCTAGTGAGTGTTAATTACATGCCTTAAGTTACCTTAAAACACCTTTAAATATGCTTCTGATTAGAGTTATAAGTTTTACTGAGAAACAAGTTTATTTTTGAAGTACTTTCTATAAGTATAATGAACCAGTATTCATGAACAATAAAATAAAATTTCTGTATAAATTTTATTTCAGTATCAATAAATATAGAAATTCATAATGTAACCCATAATGAAACCCTAAAAATTTATTTCACAGATATATAAATTATTTTTGGTTGATCTTTACATTATGGTATCTTGGCGATTTTTTAGCTTGGCGAAAATTTGGCAACCAACTCTTCTACAGCAAACCTCTATTATTTTTTTCCCGCCGCAAAGACATGTTTCTTTTCTTTTTATCTACTGAACACTTCTTCCAACAATCTACTAGCCGAATTACACTTATGCTAGAAATTTTATCTAACAAAACTGCTTAATCATGACAAATGTTCACTGCAAAATTGGGAAAAAGTGCACAATACCATACTCCTTACGCGTTTTTCAAAATAACACATACACATAAACCATGTACACGTCGACTTATTTTTACTTAAAAAAACATCCCAGAATTGCACAAAAATGGCATTGCGCACACTGTTCACTATATCCATGTACACTGCTTTTTTCTCATAAATTAGAAAAATTTCACGAAAATACATGACAATTTTTTGAATCTTTAAACCCGGTAAAAAGAACATATATAAAATTACCAGATCGCGAAAAAGTATATACCCTTTCCAAATATGAACATTTCCACGTATAAAATAAATAAAATATCCAAAAACTTTTACCTCTCAATTATCTATTATATTATAAACATCACCAATGAATTCATATCGCAAACATTACAAATACTTATTTAAATTATGTCAAATATTTAAATTATTTCCATGCACGTTTACTTCAACTAAAACGTATACCAAATTCCTACAAACATAAAATTCACAAAATAACTATCATTTAATTAAAATATCACTAAACCATGTACACGTCGACTTATTTTTACTTAAAAAAACATCCCAGAATTGCACAAAAATGGCATTGCGCACACTCTTCACTATATCCATGTACACTGCTTTTTTCTCATAAATTAGAAAAATTTCACGAAAATGCATAACAATTTTCTGAATCTTAAAACCCGGTAAAAAGAACATATGTGAAATAACCTGATCGCGAAAAAGTATATACCCTTTCCAAATATGAACATTTCCCCGTATAAAATAAATAAAATATCCAAAAACTTTTACCTCTACATTATCTATTATATTACAAACGTCACTAACTAATTCATGCCGCAAACATTACAAATGGTTACAAATACTTGGTGTCAAATATTTAAATTATTTCCATGCACGTTAACACAAATTACTTTACTTCCACCTTACATTTAGAACAATGCATAAAAATAATATCCTCAAATAATTAAAAATACTAACTTACCTAATCTTCTTCAGAATCTTGATTACGTGTCTGATAAACTTTTCTTATTTCTGTTTCAGGATCTTTAAAATCATACTTATAGTTCACAGCAAGGTACCAGATAAAATAAATAACTTAATAAAACATCTTTACTTCTATCTCGCACAACCTTAAAGAAACACTTATTACTACCCCTTTCAATCCCACTAAATACCCATTTCGAATTCACTTTACATAGGGCCATGGGATCCAAAAATTAATCAACACTGTTTCACACAACACACTATGAAGCTAAATACAAAATGCTAAACGCAATAAAAATTTCAGATGTTTTTCCCGATTTATCCCCCTTTTCCGATTAAAGAACCGTAATTTATTTCGTCCATTAATATCACATGACATATCCCATGATCTCTCATTTCCCCTCACACAAAATAATGCGTAATCGGAACTGAGTACTGCTCACATTATTACCAAAGTCCCAGGTAGTAACCTTTATCGCCTCCAAAATGTCGCCAAACTACCAGTTACCATATTCTAAAGATCAGCCTTATTTTTTAATGTATTTTCAAGCATGGTTTGTAGTGCAAGTTTTTAGGTAGTTTTATTTCTAGACAATTTTGGCTAAAAGTAGTAAATCTACTGGCTCTTTAATGTATAAATTATTGTCATAAATATTTTAAAGTTCCAATTTTGTTTTATTTACTTATTTATTTTCTTTAGGAGAACAAATTGATATGGGGTGGGGTCAGAAGATGTTTGTCAGCTGCTTAGGGGAAGGCCTTCCAGTAGGTAGGTTTCATGCTGTGAAACAAGTTATTATTTAGAAAACAATTTGTTTCATTTTTTTTATTCTTCCTTGTTACTTATTTGTGAGAATTGATGTGGATTATAAAATCATTTATTCTAATTTTAGCATAAAAACAACAAAAATGTATTATTATTTACACACAAGAAATTTTTAAATATAATGGGACTGGATGTTTTCAAGCTGATTTTTGCCTATCCAAAATGAAGTGATTTTTTTAAATCAGAATTTTAATTAAGAATTATGCATATGTTTGTATTTGCAATTTTTTCTAAATTTTCTGCATCTTTCGCTGCCATATTTCTTGTAAAGAAGAATAACATTTTCTGTTTATTGTATTCTATAAACATCAAGAATTCTGAGTAATGGATAAAGGCAGAAAATGAACTTTATGATCACGTTATTGGCAGGCAGAGTGAAGTTTGTAAAATGCACCAAATATGGATATAGTTGATATATATCACTATCATTCTGTATAATATATATCAGGGATGATCAAACTTTATATCAGTAAGATGTTGGAATTCGGGAAAGTTTGAAAGCTGGAACTAGATTTTCCGAAAGCCACAAGTCAATATTTACATTATTTTATAAGTAGTGAAACAGTTGTCACATAGAAAGAAACTTTTGATTCTGAAAATCATTCAATGTCAGTTTGACTTACTTTCTTTTGAACATTGAGTAGTTTTAGTTTATTGTGTTTCATACATATTTTTTATTTATATAATCAGTAAGACGCCACTCGCCACAGGCTATGCTGTGGCCACCCCTGATGTACATGTAAAGATGACTATGTCAAACCCACATAAGCCTTCCTTTGAGATAAAATCCTACAGTTATGAATGCTGAAAGAAAAAGACGTGCGTGGGGAGGTCTTTTTCTTTCAGCATTCATATGGAATAAAGATTTTAAGGAAAGAAATCGATGAAAATAAAAGCATTGAACAATAATGAACATTAAGGATTATGAGTAGTGATAAATATGGAAGGTGAACTATTGGATCACATTATTGACAGTTGCATTGCAGTTTGTAATATGTACCAGTTACAGATATAGCTGATATTCATTCCTAGCGTTCTGTATGGTATGTGTGTAAAAATGACTGTGTCAAAGCCCACACAAAAAAGCTGTCAGATAAAACTGTACAATAATGAATTTTCATATGAAAAGACTGCATAGGGTTTTCCCCACGTGGGGAAAAGGTGTTAAAGAAGGAAGTTCATGAGGATAAAAGCATACATGAAAAATCTTCCTTGCGAAAAAAATGCACAAGAAATTCATATATAATTACCAATTCTCCCAGGTTTGTGTCTCATCACCTTTTCTTCCTGTAAATCACCAAATCTCCTGATTTTTAATTTTTAGCCTTTAATAAAGTGTTTTATTTATTTATTATTGTTGTTGTGTGCATGTGTGTATAACATATTTTTAAATTACTTTCAGTACATAGGTAAAGTGCTGAAAGTAATTTAGAAATAAAAATTCAAATGCTGAATCTATTAAGCTGTTACAGAAATCTATTAAAGCCAGAACTAAGCAATATATTACTGAAAATGTATTAAAACATTTTAAATTAGCAAACTGGTTATCCATGAAGTTTTTCACATCTAGAAAAATTTTCATTTTGCTAAGCTATACAAATTCCAATCTGATGATTTTCCAGCCTTCAAACACTGTTGTAATATTTTGTTGTTTAACAAATAACTATATGTATTATTGGAGTGGCAATGCCATATTTGTATCATGTAACCATTGCTCAGCAATGTAAGAAATTGTTTAAAATTGTTAATTCTGAAAGTTTTACCAGCAGGTGTATGAAAAATTTGTAACTAAAAGAGTGTATTAAAATTATCTATCTCTGTAAACTAAAAATAAAATTTATGTTTAACTAAGAGGATCATCTGTTATTTTGTTAAATACTGCAAAATGCGTTACAGTACTTTTTCCTGCATCTTTCTTTAAAAGATGATATCATTCGTGATTTTTCCAAACTTTTGGTCTTCATTTCTTGCATTTATATGGTTGTTGCTAATTACAAAAAATAGGTTTGTTTAATTATAATTTTTCAGTTTCATTATTTGGTCCAAATTTATGATTTTGGTGCACTGTAGATAATTAAATTAATTTTCATTTTTTTTTTTTTTTTTAGTTATTCTTGATGCACCAACTGGAGGGACATCTGATGTGTGGTATTTAGTTCAGGAAAAGCTATCCAGAGTATCAAAGGTATGTATAAATCTTAATTTTTATAATATTTTGTGAAATATAAGTTTAATTATAAATGATTTATTATTGTTGTTGTTTATAGGTTTGTGTTTATGACCGTGCTGGACTTGGATTCAGTGATTTACCATTTGTGGTATGCTAGATTGTTTTCATTATTAAGTATTCTTTTTGGTATATTTTTTTTAACAAGGCACCAATTAGTAACAAACATAAGCATTAGAGTTAAATCTAATTAGATAATGGCAGCCCTACAATACATAAAATTCCATGCTAAAAATAACTGTTTTAAGTTAATGTTATACAGAGTGATCAGTTTCCACCTATAAAAACATCAGAGAATTGTACAGATTCAGCATTGCACACATTAAGAATTGTATGTATATCTATGTATTATCAATATGCAGTGCTGTTCATGATGTGATATAAATAGGCTACTATATTTGCTGCTCTGGTACGCATTTAGTGATCGGCATCTCGTTAATAAAAAAGTAGCTAACCTCTAATTCCTATCCATCTTTGCCTTCAGCCTTTAAAGAAACTATGTTTTAGTTCTGGTTTCATCAACAGATGGCACCAGTGGCTTATCTCCTGTCCAGTCTTTCTTATCTTGTATAATCATTATATCTTATCTCGTTCATTTGTGCTTTTGCAGCTGAGGATGCTGCTTCGGTAAAATCATGGAAAGTCCTGTAGAAATTTTAAAATATAACACTGAGTTTTGTTGTTTGACTTCTAAATTAATATCTTAATTAAAAAAGTAGCTGTTAAAAATATATTTCAGGGTATTCCTTATCGAAAATTGGTGATTTCTTGGCACCATTCCTGTTTACATCCAACGCCATCCCCAGTAAAATTGTGTCCTAAACATGATGCAATAAAACATAATTATAACAAAAAATATATAATCTCAATGAACTGCATTTTAAATCAAACAAGGAAAATAACATAAGAATGGAAATACATGTTATGTAATCTACGCAATACAAAAAGGAAATATCGACTTACCTTATTTAGAAATTTCTGCTTCTTCGTTATGTGAGACACACAGAATTCCTTAACAGCATCCAAAAATTACTTAAAATTATATAAACTAAAATCTCTTTACTGCTGTTCCCACATAAATTTACAAAAGTAAAAATGAAAAAATATTTTCCGTACTGCTGGACTGTCAAGGCATTTCTTTCGAAAATCCCTTTAAATTACACCCCACATACCTTCCACGGTGTTGATATGAGCTCCAGTTTCCAAATCCTTATATCTCAGTGTAATTTACCAAGAGGTGAACGAAGCCATTTAGATCTTCAATTACACACCAGTCAATCAATGTTTTCTTTCCCAATCTTTCTAAAGTGTACAGAAACTTCAGTTTAATCATACCACCAGGAGGCATTTTACGGTAATTTTATGGTAATAAGCAACATACTTCCTAACTGACATCCAATGCAGAAATAAGCCCTTACAAATATTTTCAGATTAGTCAAATTCTCTGCAATCACGTCATAATAGGGTTTCCATAACATTCAACTACTGAGGTTACCATAAATGAAACAACAACTTGGCAATAATCCAAGGGGCACCCTAAAATATAGACTAACCAAAAATTTATCTATGAAAATTAGATAAAGAGAACTTCAATTTGGAATAGGAAAAGTGTAGCTACTGTGTCTCTGATTATCATTTGAAATGAGTTTTATTCAAAATCAATACCAAACTAACATTATATTTTTGCTTAATATTAAGTTTTACATTTCTGTGTTTTCCTCCATTAATGTTTGAAGTGGAGAAAAATTTGTATAGTACTTAATATATTCCTTTTTTCTCTGGCCATTTAAATTTCTTTATTGAAACATTCTGTAACTGTATAAATACTGCTGGTTTTAGATAAGAGCCATACAGAGAAATGATGGATTATATTAAATAAATAAATAACCATAAAGTAGATCAATTGGAACATGAATAATGGTCTGATACACAAATAAAATAAACAACATACTTCCTAACCAAAATCCAACACATAAATAAGCTCTTATAAATATTGTTGCGTTTTTCTTTTCTGACACCAGTTATTTTCTTCCTTCACGTTCATATGGGGTTCGTAGATTTGGAGTGAATAACGACGACATTGTATCGAAACACATGTTTTATTTACCAATGTTAATTAGATAGCCCAAAGTCACTCTTACAATCGTTGAACTGCTATAAACACGCTGACACGTTCAGCAACACAGCCTTCACACTGTCAGGCAATAACGGTAGAGACAGCTTCACTACAAAGCACCTGAGTACAGCTCCCAACTCTGCATGGTTGTTCTCGGAACTCCACTTACTCTCGAGACTCTCCACATGATGCACTCGACAATACACAAGAGTATAGCTCTCGACTCATCACAGTTGCCAAATGTGGCAACCCCGCCTTCCTTTGCCATTTTATGGCAACCTTAAAACTGCTTTGCGAGGAAGCTATCTTACCATGCTTGTACATTTCGTAACACTGCCCCCTCCCAAGGACTGCACATCCTGGGCAGTACAACCCTTGATCGGAAGCCAAATTCGATACAATCCAAACGGTTTAAAAACATACAGGTAACATAACTAAAGAAATGAACATTTGCATTACATACAAACTTTACATAGAAACTAGATAAGAAAACTCATGCGCAAGAATTATGGGTACCCCTAAAAATTAGAAGCAAATATTTACACTATGTACAAGTTATATACACAAATTAAACACATAACAGTTTTAAATTATACAAATTAAAGTTAAAAATGAATTTCAGTCTCAGTCTTTTCATTAAAATATACCCGCTTCAAATACCTTTCCACTGCAGTTCTCAGATATATTTATGTTTTGCATATCACAGTCTGAAGATTTAGTCCTTTCAGACTTTTCATCCACAGGGAGATGTGAAACAGTTTGTTCACCACTCTGCAGTTCATTCGTAGCATGCATACAGTTCACGTAGGTATTTTTAACAGATGCTACATGCTTATTTTCCTTCATTTCCTGGGAACCAGCTCCAAATTTTGCATCCGAGTTATGAACGGAACCCAATTCTTCGCAAACACAAGTATCCAGGTTTAGAATCAAGTCCTTGTCTGCACAATCAGCACACATAGTTTGTGTTCAGCACAGAAGCACACAAGACGCACACATAGTTTGTGAGGTGGGCGAATTTTCTTGCAATACTAGAGCACACTGCTTCAGCTGTATATCAGCTTCTTCAATCTCAGTATCACATGAACTTTCAGATGGTTCAACACTTGCTGATTGCGTTTTCATAACTTCACTATCAGTTTCGCATTTTCACTTTCTTTCACTTCCACTTCAGGCATTTGAGAATCAAAAGCTTCTTTCCTGTCTTTTATTTCTTCATGTTTTCATTCTTTTCTTTTAATCTCATTATATGTTTCATCCATTATTTCTTGATCTTTCTCAGGCAATTCATTAGCTACTTCTTTCATTTCTTCATCCTTTGTTTCTTCAACTGCCACTTTTCTCATTTTCTTATCATCTTTTATGAATCCAATATCTTCTGCAAACTCCACTTTCATCTGTTGGAGTTGCTCTTGCACCTTATCTTGGCCAACATTTGTTTCTTCTTGTCGGTTTTTTTTTTTTTTTTTTTTTTTTTCTCTTCCAGTCTGGCTTTGATCTCAGCTGTCATCTCTTTATATCCAGCTTTTATCTCATCATATCCAACTTCCATCTTTTCTTGGAATTCAGCAAGCAAGCTTGCTGCAACACAGCCTTCACACTGTCAGGCAATAACGGTGGAGACAGCTTCACTGCAAAGCACCCGAGTACAGCTCCCAACTCTGCTTTGTCGTTCTCAGAACTCCACGTGCTCTCGAGACTCTCCATGCGATGCACTCGACGATACACAAGAGTATAGCTCTCAACTCAGCACAGTCTAAGACAAAACTCGATGATGCACTAAAAGACTCTCTCGATGCACTCGACGACCAACTTGCCGCTAGACTTCGAGACACTTGCTCAATGACTGACTATCAGCTCCTTAAATGAGGCACAGACACTCGCCCTCTTGATGAGGCACACACACTCAATACTAACTGACTGCGGACCAGCAGGGTTTATATAGCTTTCAACTTGTGTTCGAGAACATTCTGGGCTAAACCGGTAAGAATTCGTTCCAGAAGGTTCTCCATCTGTCCATGGTGTATCACCAAATGGGCGATTTCATGCCAAATACGACAACCCTAAAACTGCTTTGCAGGAAAGCTATCTTACCACGCCTGTACTTTTCGTAACAATATTATCCCATCAGTCAAATTCACCGCAATCATGTTATAATAGGGTCTCTATAACATTCAACTACTCTGGTTACCACAAATGAAACAACTTGGCGATATTCTAAGAGATACCCTAAAACACAGACTAATCAAAGTAGCCTCTTTCTTACCAAACAGATGAATAATAAAACCTTACTTACGCATTAACGCCACCGCAGCAGCAGATTTTAAGGGCCGACAATCTACACCTTAAAATTTTTGTGACAAATCATAAAATAAAACGCTTTATTTAAAATCAAAATAGTCAATCGGATTTTGGTGGAAAATGGGCCGATATAGAGTTTAACATAAATTCAAAACAGTCTCTATTTTCTTTGACCTGATGCTGTCGCCATATGAACTCTACTAAATAAGATTCTAAATGATGTCTCGCTGTCTCCCTATGTCTCTTGTTCCTCCATTTAGCACTCTTTTAGCCCCACATTCTCTCAACTGTTTGTGTGTGAACTCCTGTATCAGAATCAATATAATTGTATCTATGATTAACTTTAGCATGTAGGAATCCTTCTTTTTTGCTATTCTAGTTGTTTGGTAACCTTTCCAACTGTCAGAATAAATTGTGCTACCATCTGCAATGTTTTCAATAATTTTATTAAGAAGGGTAGAGCCAGTTCTAATAGGAACAGTGACAACAAACAAATCTTTTGTTTCTCTACATATACCACCAAACACCCACTGTTCAGGTAATACTCGACCACAATTATTTTTACGCTTGGTAAACAAACTTTCATCAATTTCCACAATGCGATCTGGCCCACCTACCTTCTTGTTTGGTTTATTCTCCATATCCAAGACACATAATTCGCGCATGTAATTGTTCCAATCTATAACAGTTTTATCCGATAAATCAAGTTGCTTTTCACAAAACGTCAACTCCTCGCACAAGCAGTATATGAATCTCAAAGCTGACAAAATGGAACTCTGCTTCCTTCAAACCAGTTGTCTTTTCTAAGTCCCACTTGGTGATCACACTGTCTTAAATTCAAATGTACGTTTACCAAAATAAAGTTTCATATCGTGCAAATTGGTACATTTTTGTTTTTTTGGTAAAATATTTCGCTTCTGAAAAAATAAAATTGCATCTTCTTCTGCTCCTGAAAAAATAAAATTGCATCTTTTTCTGCACCTGAAAAAATAAAATTGCATCTTTTTTTGCTCCCAAAAAAATAAAATTGCATCTTCTTCTGTGTTTGGCGAATCCCAAAGACGCATTTTCGTAGCACTAAAAAATGGGCGTCAAAAAACAGCAAACAACAAGGCAAAAAGGAATCCAAAAGACAACTGTGTGTGAACAACAGGATTGCTCTTTATTGGCGCATCAGCACAACTTCTGCTACGGTTACGTTAATACATAAGTACCAATAAAACTATATACTGTTATTAATTTCAAAGTATAATTGCCTATCTGTTATAGTTAATATGCTTTTTTGTTATGAGCAGTATATTAATCAATGAATGAGAGAAAAATTGTTTTGGTTAAAGAATTTAGAAAATATATCAAAGTGAAACTGTGATAAAATTAAGTATTATTATTATTAGTTAGAGATCACAGAGCACTAATTATCTAAATCTGTCAAAATCTACCCAGCTCTGATTAGCAGACAGATTATATAAGCCAAATTTGTACTGTTCAGTTTTGAATGCTTTTTTGACATTTGCCTTCTCTTACTGTATTGAAATGTGTATTTTTTTTTTTTTTTTTTTTTTTTTTAAATCTTGAAGGTATTCTTTTATATTGAGATTGATACATCACAAATTATTTTTAGGCTTTAAAGCTGTATTGGGTTAGTCTTCCTGCTTTATAATTATTAATGCATAAAAATTTCAAAATGAGGGCAGATCATTATCATAGTGGTAGTTTTCATTTTTTATGTGTACCTTGAACAGAAAAGGATTTTTTCAAATCATATCAAATCTGATATTTCTCTATATACATAATCCAGTGACTGGATTCTCTCCCCTCCTTTTTTTGAGACCAGTCTATTGATAGTAACCTAACTTATAGATATTTTAGCTATCTCTTCTCAGAAAACATTGTGCAGGGATTATACTGATATTAAATCCAATTGAAGAAAGAGAAGGATAAGCATAAAAAGTCAAACTTTAAGCAGAACTTAAATATCTACCCTGGAGTTCATATTGGCAGTTAGATTCTACTTTCCAGGATTATTTGCCTCATTACTTTTATTTGTATTATAATTTAAATTTCAGTTCACTCTACAGTCCTGATATTCATTATGGAATTTTCATAATTATTAATTTCTTCCTAAATTGTTCTGATTTCTAGTTTGACCTTGAAATCAGAATGTTCATGTCATTGGCAGTTTGTCTAATTAAAATTTGATAGTCAAAATTTACTGTATTTATATTTTAGGTACTTACAGCATATCTGTGATCAATATGTTATTTTTGAGAGGTATTACGTATATATTAAAAATTTGTCTCTCTTTCTTCTTCCCCATTTTTGTACTTTTAATGGAAAAAATTGATATTATTTCATGTTTTGTGTGTAGAATGATATGAACCAGAAATCAAAAGTTGAAAACAGGAAATTTGTTTCACAGGTTGCAACTTTAGAACAGTAAGTTTTCCCCTTTTTATAGTGCATAATCTCTGTTTATATAGCTTTAAAATTTATTTGCACTTTTTATTTAACACTAAGTATTTACAGGATGACATGCGACCTTCATCATCTTGTAACAAATGCAAAGCCATTGCCACGTCCTTTCATTATGGTTGGTGCTGAAACTGGGGGTCTAATTACCAGACATTATGCCATGACATATCCTGAGTATGTAATTCAATAAGCAGATTTTTTGTGTTAGCTTTTTTTTAAATTTTTATTTATTTATTTATTTATTTGGTCTGTGATAAAGGCAAACCTCTCTTAATGAGATAACTGAGCCTTCACTTAGGATGGTACAAGTGAAATAACATTAAAAAAATATTCAATGAATAATGAAATAATTATAATTCATCCCTCAATTAGTATTCATCTACGAAGGAACAATATAAGCTATGTTATCTATAAAATGAACAAAGTGTATTAAATTTTTATTTATTTTTAAGTTAGTGAAGGTAGTTTGAATATTGCTCAACTTACACATCTAATCATGCATATGCAGTAATTTTAAGTCATTTTATGATGATTCTGGCAGGTTAAAATTTCATTCCATATGAGGATCAACATCAAATAAAATTTCCTGAGCATGCTGTGCTTGAGATCCAGTTCAAGATCTTTTGCACTTAGTTTCTTATTCTGCACTATAGTTTTAAGTTTGAAAACAGATTGAAAAATTTATATGAAAATTATTTTTTGATGTAGCAGAAATAGACCTTATGTATTGAGCATTGTTTCACTGAAATTAGTTTAAAAAAATCTTATTATTTTAAAATTTAATTTGACTTTTAATAGATGTTGAAAATTAACAATGTTTAGCACTACACTAAAACATCTTGAGTACATATATATATTATGAATTTAATTTGTCTTTTATCTCATTTTTGATTTAGAGAAAAGTTTCTCCAGTATCCAAGTGATTGATATTTTAAGATAGAACATGGATACGAGCCTGTTTCCTTTAGAATGTTCTCTACAAAAGTATCATTCACATTATGCAGATAGTCCCTGTGTGCCATATTCCAATAATCAACTAATTGATTTAAAGAAGTGTCTATTAATATATGTAATATTTGAATTATAGTCTCATGTGTACCTGTAGAATTTATGTTGTATGTAATCTGTAAGCCTACCTACTATTTTTCTTTTAAACTAATCACGATGTATGACCAGCTTTTCAGGAAGCATGTCGATATGCAATCTTATTTTGCTTATAGCCTTTGTAACTTCAGCTTGCTGGATTTTAGGCAATACCCTTGAAAAATGTACTCTCTCTTTTTTTTTTTTCTTTTTTTTTTTCCCTGTTTGTTTATTACTCTTTTATGTTCTAATCTCAAGAAAGTAGTTTATTTGCTGTAATAAAAAGAATCACCGAAGAAGAAGAAATTTATAACTTTTATATCTCTACTTGTATTATACTTTTACTTTATAACTTGTATGTTCAGGTTATCTGAATTTTTTCTCAAAGTTACATGTTGAAATATTTTTGAATGAGAAATTTTATCTGCTAGTGTACTAATCACCCTGTACTAAAATATTTATATAGAGAGATTCAAGCAAAACTTGTTCATTATTTAATTTGATTAATAATTAAATTTGCTAATACTATTTTGAATTATCTTTCTTCTAAATAGAACATTAAGCTTCTGAGCAACATGACTACATTTAAAATTTATTGTGACTTAGTACCACACTTGAAATTTATTGTGACTTGGTACATGTTACCTTATTTAAAATAGTTTTATTACTTTTTTTAATAATTGAACTATCATCCTAATGAACAGAAAATTAGGAAAACAAAGAAGAAAATTATGATGCATAATTATATAAATCTGATTAGTAAATTATTTTACATATAAAATATAGCTTTTTGTGAGCAGATCCAAAATTTCATACCACTCAAAAGTTAATAATTATTTTACATAATGCAAACTTTTTTTTAAAGCCCATTGAGGCCAAAATATTTAAGCTTCATAATAAATAAAAATATTCTTTTTTTAATAAAAACAACCAGCCTAGTATTTTTTAATTTCTTATCAGCTCTTATGTTATAAGGTATTTCTCCCGTCTTCCTAGCATGCCTTCGTGGTGTAGTGGTCAGCACACTGAGCCGGTATTTCAGAAGTCCATGGTTCAATTCCTGGCGAAGGTGATTGCTAATTTTTCATCTTGCCTGCTTCTCAGAAAATCCTAATTTCTCTACAATGTATAAAATGATTAAATTAGTAATCCAAAATGTTTTATGCTTTTAAATTTTATTTTTGGTCTTTTGGCACTTTTTCATTAAAACCGTACAATTTGGTACTTTTTGAAGAAATTTAATGTCTTAGTGCCAACTTGATCTGGCCCTTTTCTTTGCAATAATTGTCTTTACAATCATTGCTCAGGTGTGTTTCCTAATTAATATTATCACCTTTTTATGCATTTGTTTTTATATTTCAATTTCAGCTTTTATTTATTTATTTATTTATTTTTTTGATAAAGCATGAAATTATTTAATTTTGTAGAATTAAATTTCAGAGGAAATTTAAAAAAAAATAAAAAAAGTTTAGTAAAAAGGGGAGAAAAAAAGTTTAGTAAAAAGGGGAGAAAAACTTAAACTAGAAAATAAAACTAAAAGTTCTTGAAGGAAAACACGTCTAGTATTAAACCAAAGGCTTGAATAAAGAAATAAATCAAAATGCACCAATACGGTGCTGGAATGGTAACAGTTTTTTCCCTTCAATTTATATAAACAGTAAATGAAAATTATTCCAAAGCAGTCTGCTAAAAATATTGCAATATTTCTGTATTTTCTTATGAACTGATATATTTAAGACTGATGTTGCTTTTCAGGGATGTAAGTGACATAGTTTTGGTTAATCCCTTGGTAGAAGATTTATTTTGGCGTCAAAAAGAAGACTGGAATAATTATTGGTAAGTAAGAAACAGAATATGTATGTGAAAACAAAATACATTTCAAAATATGCATTTAAGAAGCATTTCATACATTCAATTTTTAAATACTTAATTTTTGAAGCTGTATATGTGGGTTTTTGAATACTAAATATGTTGTTCAGATTTTAAAAATTCTGTTGAATTTGAAGCTTGTAAATTGTTTTTGATACAATTAATTTAATTTAAAGGCCACCCAGTCGGTATGGTGGTCAGGGAAGCTGACTGTGATGCCGAAGGGCCTGGGTTCGAATCCTGGAAAAGGCATGGTTGTAACTGTCTGTCCCTTCATAGGAAAGGTGATGGTGGTCCACCTATTAGATGCCTCCATAATAAAGAGACCACCACATCCGGCCTTGTATAAATTAATGGACTAGGTTACATTTGTAATTGTTCACAATCTGCCATTGGAAGAAAAAAAATATTTAAAGTGTATTTTTTCTGCAGTTTTGCTTTATTTATATTCAAAAGGAGTAAATAAATCCATCTAATAGGATACATTTTAAATATAAAGTATTTCATTATTGAAATATGTTATTTTTCTAATATATATTAAAACTTTCACGAGTAAAACACAAAATTTTTGTGATCTTATTCTAGGAATCTGAATTTACTACCAATGTTGCAGTCTTTGCAATTATCAGCTTATGCAGGTATTTCTCGAATAGCTGCTCTTACGGGTTATTTAAAATCAGACATTGCAGGTCATTCCATTCCAAAGGATGTGGAACTTAGACAGGTAGCCATGCAAAATTTATATAAGTATTTTTTAAAATGCAAATGATGTTCTTATGCCAGAATTGTTTTCCTAATTCAACCATGCATCAATTCAGTTTGTTCATAATGAGGCAAATAGCCCAGGTAAAATAATAACCTTTATGTAATGAATTATCCTCAGTCAGAAAGTGTTACTTGAAAAATTACCATTACATTCAGCTTTATGTAAATTATTTGTTAACTGTAACAAATATTTGATAATATGCATGTTAGTTACGTGAATAATGTATACAATTATTGTTATTGGAAAAAATCATAAATGTCATAGATAACACTTCTGGGTTACTGAAGCCTCTGCCTTCTGCATCATTTCTCAAAATTATACAAAATTCCAGAATTGCCTTTTATATCAGTTCCAAAATTTTGGGGAAAGTATACAATCAAAATAAATGTTAGCAAGATTTCGCAGTTATGTGTGAAAATGTACTTGAGTAATTTTGTTGTCATTCATCAGACAGTTCTGCTTGTGAGACAAGAATAAAAAGAAAGCAAACTTGCTTTGTTAAGATTTAATTCTCTTACTTCCTTACCTTAGCTCGAATTTGATTCTGTGTAACATGTAAGAAAAATTTTAAAAAAATCAATTATAGCTTGATGAATTATATTGGAATAAATTACTGATTCAAGACATTTTACATTAATCTTTTTCAGCATTTTTTTTTTTTTTTTTTTTTTTTTTTTTTTTTTAAGTATTTAAAACTGAAATTTTATGGAGAGCAACCAACGTATTTCTCATGTATTTGTAATTTATCAATCAACCTTTCATTTCTGGCAAGGATATTGCCTTGCTTGTTATTGTACCATAAATTTTCAAAATCCTGGAGGGAGCTGTGAATCACTATATATACTGTCTGTAAGTAGCTCTATTTTTACTGTTCTATCTTAAGTTGCTAACATGGAAAATAGATTTTTACTTATTTATAGAACATACCAGATATTTTCAAGATTTTGATTCATCCCATTTACAATGGTCATTATTTTAATAGGACCTTTTCCAGTTGCTGGTAATGACCGTTTTCTGCAGTGATGCTATGGGGGAAGCTCAAATTTTTCAGGTCTATAAAGTAGCATCCCATTGTCAATAAACCAGTCATCAGAATTTGTTTCAGTAGAAAATATTGCCTCATCTACAGCTAGGAGTGTTATATTTGCAACAGCATTATTCTTATCTCCTTTGTTTGGTACTGCATATAGACTAGGTTTTGGTGGTTTTCTATCAGCTATCCATTTCTCACATGTTCTGACCAATGTCCTCTCTGGTGACAATAATTACACTTGCTGTTTTCCTTATTAGGGGCTGATTTCTGCTTCGATTTCAAGTTTGCTATCAATGTTTCTTGATTTAAAGTTTCTACAAAATTTGGATCTTTTTTTTAAATTTTCTTTCATGGGTATATAGTTGTGTGGTAGCTCACGCCTCTACCACACAACTGCATATTCAAGTTGGCCCTCAAGGCACATAATAAACAGTTGTGTAGTTAATTCTTCTAGAGGTCTGCTTTCATCACTAAGAAGTAGCCAACTCGATTTGAAAGTATAACTGGTAGGAAGATTACTCAGTATTTTACAAATTAACAGCATTTCTGGGAGTCTGTTCTCTTCCTTATTTTCAAGTCCACTGTTCAGTTTGTTCCATAAATTTTTCAATTTTGATAAATGAGCTGTCATATTATCATTTGACCGACTGAATTTGAATAACTGTAAACATATGTTGTAAAGTTGGTTATAAGATAAATATTCAAATATTTTGTGAAGTTCAAGTCATATTTCCCTTGTGCTGGCAAATCTCATTACCTTTTGTAAAGTATCCTCAGTCATGGAATTTGTAAGAACCATCATAGCCCAATTATTGGCTTTATCGAAAACCCTCGCGTCATTTCTGTATCTGTTTCAAATCTCTTCAACAACAGCTTGATAAGGCTGCACTGGCCTTTTTCAGTTTTTCTTCCATGACTTCTGAAGTGTACTTGTGATAACCTAATATGAACTTAATTCGATGTTCCAAAATAGGCCAATCAATTTTTCTGCATGATGGCATACCTAATATCTTTGCAGCTTCCATTTTTGGGAAATATCTGCTGACTTACATGAGCTTTAAGAACTGCTGTGTTAGGTTTATGAACTGTCCCATTAGACTTACTAACTGCCATTAACTTTTATCTCCATTTTGCTTCTAAATTTTTCTGCACAGTAAGAGCATCCTGGTTCTTTAACCTGTTAGAGTTTAACGTTACGAAAGGAAACAAAAGTAAAAATGTCATCTGTATTAGCATATATATATTAAGCACATAGAAAGAACGTGATAAAAATATATATGGTAAAAGGAACTATAGCTACAATAACTGAAACTATTGCCAAGAAAAAAAGTATAAAAACTGCACTGCCATACAAGTTGCAAAAATATAATGAAAAATATAGTCACAAATATAAAAGTTATTTGCAATAGTACATACACGCTGTCTTTTATGTACTCCCACAGATAAAAATGCCAAGGGTTAAGATCTGATGACCTAGACGATTATGAGCAGGAACATGTTGTCTACCTTTTCCAATCCATCATCATGGAATTAGGTCATTCAGATACTGCTGTATCTTGTGGTGGAAGTGAGTTGGAATACTGTCTTGTATGAAGATTAAAAATCATCCTGATGTTCTTGAATGTATGAAAATAACCAGATTTGGGGCATGTCCAGATATGCAGTTCTAATCACAGTTTCCTACATTAAGTAGCAGGCCATAAATTTTGTTGACAGTAAGGCACAAAATATATTCAGCTTTTGAGTTTCTCTTTCATGTTTGATGACTATGCCACCATTTTCAGTTCCCTAAATTCTGACATTGTAGCAATTCACTTTACCAGATATATGAAAGTTGATTCATCAGGAAAAAGTTAGAAAAAAATGTCATTTTCCAAATCTTAAAATTCTAATTTTTTTTCCATGATTGCCAGGATGCAATGCCTGGAGTAATTGCAAGTTAAATGGCTTCAGATGCAGATAATGTTTAAGCACATGCTATACTGTTGGTTGTCGAATTCCAAGTTCTCTGCTTGTGGATTTCTTAGGAGTATGTTCAAAAGCAGTTTGGATATGCTCCTCATTTTCATCTGACTTGCAAGGACAACCAGTACTTTTCTCTTTGCATGTGCAATCATCTTCTACAAGTTTCTTTTATCAGTTGTAATTCTGTTTATGGTGAGGCAGCATTTTGTTGAACTTATGACAAAATGCATGCTGCATTACAACAATGGATTCACTCTTTCCATAGAAGAATTTTTCCTGGGGTGTCACCATTTTTTCAAAAACAAACCATAGAGCTGCCATAGACACTGAATATAACTAACAAACTATAGTGCCACTGTAAGCTTAGAATGGAATTAAACCACAGTGCCCTTGTAGACACTTAATGAAACTAATAGTTGAGGTTTAAAACTTTGAACTTTCCTTTAGCCACTTATTATTAGCCACTCATTAGAAATATGTTGTTGCTCATTAGAAATAAATATTTTAAGTGTGCTCTTCCTTTTGAATAACCCTGTTTTTTAAGAGTAGGTAACTGTGGAAGTAAAACCAATTTCATTTTGTAAAATGCAATCCTCAAGTTAAAATTCCTAAGATGGTAGATTATAGTTTTCAAGGTGTGTCATTGTCTCATATTTTGTTAAAAATCTTAGGTAAGTAGGTATTGAAATGCAAATAACTTTTACATAGACTATTCAGAAAGTAACTTTCATTTTAGAATTAAAAAAAAAAAATGAAAGTAAACATTTTTATTACTCAAATTTGAAAAACACACTATTCAGCTATTTTTCTATATAATCTCCATATAAATTAAGACACTTATAATAACAATACATGAGCTTGTTAATTCCATCATCACAAAATGTTGGTGTCTGAGACTTCAACCATACATGAATGCCTGCATGCAATTCCTCATTATCGTTGAAACGCTGTATTCCAAACCAGGTCTTCATGTGAAAAAACAAGTGGGAATCACTAGGAGCAAGGTCTGAACTGTACGATGGATGACCAAATAACTCCCATCCAAGAGCCATCGAGTTAGAACGGCTCTGTGGGGGCATGCAATATCATGAATGGAAAAACCTTGGAACTCAACTTTCCTCGCCGCTTGTTTTGTATCGCTCTTTGTAATTTCTTTACTGTTTCACAATATTTCTCACTATTTATTGTTTTACCATGTTCAAGGTAATTCATCAGAAGCACACCTTCTCTTGTCTCAGAAAACAGTTGCCGTGTTCTTTCTTAATGACAATGTTTAGAAACACTTCCTTGATTTTCTGGGAGAACTTTTGTGACCCACTCCATAGATTGTTTTATTTCACAAGTCACGAACTTTATTTAAGTCTCTTCTCCTGCTATGATACGATCGAGAAGTGATTCACCATGTTCGTGGTACGCCTTGAGAAATGTCAAAACTGCTGCCATGCGCTGCTTGTGGTCATCTGACAAGAGTTCCGTTACCCATCTGGCACAAAACTTGTAGTCACAACACCAAACAACAAAGTTCATGAAATTTGAGGAAACTCTAGTGAGAACTCCAAAATTGTAAAGTAGTGGTTTTCGCAAATCTTTTTCTTGATTTTCTCTACCAGTTCAGCATTAACAATGCTCAGCCAGCCACTTCACACTTCCTCGTGAACATTAGTGCGGCCATTTTTAAACATGATGCATCATTTTCTCACTCCGACTTCACTCATTATGTCATTTCCATACACCCTACAAAGTTCCCAATAAATTTCAGCTTTTTTGCGACCAAACATCTAATCACTGATCACACTTCACAACTGGCAGAATTTTCTATTCACGCACACATTTTAAACATTCACAGTGAACGAAGTAGAGATGATACTTACCATGAACGATTACAGCCGAATGCATAAAGCTTCAGTAGATGCTGCAACATCAGGATGGGGATGCTAGCGCCATGTCTCGCCATGTAACGGAGAAATATAAGTTACTTTCTGAATAGCCCTCATATCTAACAGAAAAATGCAAAATAAAGCAAGAGTTTAAAATAATCAAATAAATAGAATTTTTCACCCCCTCAAATAAATGATGGCAAAATAAGTTCAGTTCATGTAATCAGCATATTTTTTAAACATTTTGTAAAAGGGGCATAATAAAGTGAGTGATATTGTAATCAAGGTGACAACTTGAAGAGGTGTATTTTCATTCTCTTACCATATTAAGTTTTTACTAAAAATAATGCAAATTGAATGTTCAATGCTTTTTTCTTTTTGGAAGGGAGAGGATGTGTTATCCTTGCTATTTTATCCTTTTATTTTGATGTTGTTACACCTGTTTCTTGTATTATGAAATATTATATCCATACATTTGTAATTTTATGTTAAGTTTTTTGAATATATACATTTACTTTATAGATTTATCATTTATGTAATCCTAGTCACATGAGTGCAGTTTTTCAAGAGCATCTTAATCTCAACACCAGCTTTTCTCAAATGAAGTAAATATTGTAGTTTTACTTTATTGTATAAATTGTTTTATTTTTAATCATTCATTAAAATTCATGGAGATGACAGAATGTTCAGACAAATTTTATTTTTAGTGAAGTGTGGCAAACAAAGCCTTTTCCTAAGAATATATCTGTGACTGTGGTAAACAGCGAAAAGTTTGAGAAATTTCCTCCTTTTCTTCAAAAGGTAAGAGTATAAGTTTATTGTTATATATTATTATTGAGTATGGTGTATTATTAATCCACATTTTAATATTTAAGCAGAATGAAGATATATAATTTTTTTTTTTATATTTACTCTTTCAAAATGAAAAGGAATTTTCGTTTACTCTTGTCTCAAATTATCAAATTTTTCAGAATTTTCTAATATAATAAAAATTTTTTATTAGTGTAAATATTGCTATTTACTTAACAATCATGTGTACTTCGGTAATGATTACTGAAAGTTCTCCATTTTTAAAGATTGTGTGAATTTTCTAAAAAAAATTTAAGATGATGATACTTATCATCAAACCTGAGTACTAAACTTAAAGTACAGGCATGTATTGCATTTTGTTGTCATTATGGTGCTCAATTTCATGATTATAGTTTTAGAAATGTGCCTTCACTTTATATTAAGATTTGTATGAAAACTTATGATCTGTATGCATTTTAAATTACTTATTTAATCACATTTAATCCTTTGAGCTATTTCTTATTATTGTATAGCAAACTTCCTAGTTGTATGCTTAGCCCTTTCTAACTCTGGTGTTCAGCATATATAATATTTGCTGAATAGTAAATACTTAGTAAGAGACCATGAATAGTTGTAAGATGGCAAGAATAAGAGGTTAATTAGTTGTAAAAAGTTGAATGTAAAGAAGTAAGTTGTAAGAGGCCAAGAATTTTAAATGTTTCCAAAAGTATATTGTTTTTGCTGTTGTTAGGAAAAAGAAAAAAAAAAACCATTTTGCTGTTTTTTACTTTACCCTGTAATTATTGTCTTCTGAGTGTATGTGCCAATTTGGGGATCTACAAAATCATTTTTACGATTAACTTTCAAGTGCTAATCCAACTTTTCTAACTCTTCTTCAGTATGATTTCCAAGAAATTCAGTATTTAGTGTTTCGGTTTTCTTCCCTACTGTATGGAAATGAGTTCTTTACCAAAGAATATATAAATCTGAAAACTGTTAAAAAAGGAAGAAAGAAAATAGAAGAAAAAAAAAAGTGTACCAAGAAGATTTATTATCTCTCTTCATCAATAATTTTTTTTTAATTTTATTTATTATTTTTTACAATATACCTACACATGACCTTCTTATTTATATTCTTATAGAATGTTAAACGTTTTATTAATGTTTTGATAAATTTGAAAATTTAGCGACTTTTTAATTATCGCCAATATGATAGCAATTAAGGCATAAACAGCCTCTTATGTCACATCTGGTTATTAAATAAGCATTTTTAAATGTTCTAATCTTTTACTGCAATATAATATATTAATTTAAGAATTATTTTTCAGTTTTTCATGTTTTGGGACATAAGCTTACTTGCATTAATGTATCTTGTTATTGAATTGTGTATTTTGTTCCTTGCTAGCCTTAACATGCTATTCTAAAGTTCTCTCTTTTCTTTCTTTCTTTCTTTCTTTCTTTTTTTGTTTTTTTTTTTAATTAAAAAAAAAAAAACAGAATCAAGTCTTATTGCCTATCACTGAGCTCAAATGTTGCTGTCATTTATTTCTGAGTTTAAGGGATTAGTAATAATACTCATTGGTTTAAAGCTATTACAAAAACATAAGACATTAATTTGTAAAGGTTTTTGTATATAATTGTTGTAAGCCTTTCTTGAATTACTAAAGTATAACTGCATGCAGTATTAGAAACTTAAATATTGAGTTGGCAAAAAAGTAATTTCAGTTTGCACAAATTCATTTCCCTACATTGTGTTTATTTTGTTAATCCTTTTTTTTTATGTGTGTGTGTGTTTACAGAAACAAATTATGCATATTTTTGTTCACAGCTGTTAGTTTATGGCCAATTTTAACATGGGGCACAAAAATAAACTTTTTTGATATATTTTACTTTCCCTCCCCCCATAAAGACAAAAAAGTGACTGTGGCTGACAAAGAAATATGTGAAGTTTATGGTGTTGATTGCTTAATGGAACACATGTGTCAGAATTGTTTAAAAAAAATTTCATTCTTGAGGTTTTTAACTTGAAAAAGAACAATATTTTGAGCCTCCTGAAATTGATGATGCCAAATTATGTAATTGAATTGAATCATCATATAACTGTGTGAGAGATTGCAAAAAGGTTGCATGTATGACACACAAGAACTGAAATCACATAACATGTCTTGGACTTCGTAAGAAGCTTGATATTTGGGTTCTGCATGATTTGAAAGAAATTTACTTAACGCAACGAATCAGTATTTGTGATATGCATTTCAAATGTAATTCAGTTGGCCCTTTTTTTAAATGAATTATCACTAATGACAAAAAATGAATCATCTACAATAACATCGGTCAAAAAAGGCCATGATCCAAGCACGATGAATCAGTACAAATCATATCAAAAGCTAAATTGGAAAAAGATCATGCTGTCACTTTGGTGGAATTACAAAAGTGTTGTGTATTTTGAGCTGCTTCCAAGCAACCAAACAATCAACTCAGATGTTAGAGAAAGCAATCAAAGAGAAAAAATTGCAAGGGAATTGTGTTCCACCCTGACAGTGTGAGGTCTCGCACATCTTTAACAACAAGTACAAAATTATTGAAGCTTGGTTGATAAGTGATGTCCCTTCCGATATATAATCTCAACCTTGCATCATCGAAGTATCATTTATATCAATGGTAAAAATTTCAGTGGTAAAAATGAATGGTAAAAATTTCAGTTATAACGATGACCTTAACCCTTTTGCGCCTAATGGGACACATACGTCCCAAACAAATTTTTAAAAATGCTTTTGGGATAGAAACGCTTCTCTGTCTAATGGGAGACTTTCCCACCAGTCCTGCCAATTTTTTTGAAGGTATTTTCATTTACAGAACATAGATGGCACTACCGTACGTAATGCAATTCCCACGTTTTGAAGTGTTGTAGTAGCTCATTCCATACTCTACGAACGTAAATAGTTTAGTTTTGGAAAATACTGCCTATTTTCGATTAAATTTTGATTTATCCATAAATCTAAGGCCAGATAAGTTACTCATGAAGCGGATTACCTCTAATAAACTGGTAAGTGGCAACGTTTTACTTCCATTTTTATTATCGGGACATATGTGTCCCTCTTGTCTTGGATAGTAGGAACACATTGTCCCAACAGTCCAATGTGATCATTTCTCTAGATATTATATTTTTTGGTTACTTTTGAAATAGTTGTTTATTATTTTTAATTTAAGCACAAATTAATTCAATCTAAAATGACTTGACGCCGGGGACTTACTAATGAAAAAATCAAAAAAATTTTAGAAGAGTCAGATGACAAAGATATTGATTTGGATGATAAAATAGATGATCCCGATTTTCAAGATCCAACGCACAATTTGCAGTACTCATCTGATTCAGACGAGTGTGAAATGGATATCGATCATGATACCATTTTCCCAAAATACAAAGAACAGCAATGCTTTGAGTGATACTGATACGGCATCACTTTCATCAGTTGATGAGATACCATCAGCTAATGCTTCAGGCTGCAAACCAATCTTATGGTTTCATGTTGATTCAACTTTCCAATCTCGAATGACAATTCCAGCAGAGTCATCGCCTAGTTTGTTATTCAACTTAAATCGTTCAGCAACCGAATTGGATGTATTTCTCAAAATATTTCCAAAAAGTCTTATGATTTGGATCTCTCAGTGCACAAACCAATGACTCGAATAGTTAGGACAAACAATTCACCCTACAGACCCCTCTGAAATTATGCTTGTCCTTGGATGCATGCTTGTCATGTCTTACAAGAGGGTGCCGAAATTCTCTCATTATTGGTCTAATCCTTCTTTGGGAAACGTAGCAATAAAAAATGCTATTTCAAGAGACAGATGTAAAACGTTGCTGTCGAAACTATATTTTGCTGCTGAAACCAGAAAAGCCAGAAAATGCAAGTAAAACATATTATATTGACGAGGTTGTTTCGTGCCTGAAACAAACCTTCAAACAGTGCTGAAGCGAAAGCTCATATCAATCTATTGATGAATCAATGGCGAAATTCAAGGGACATTCATCCCTCAAACAATATATGCTGATGAAACCTGTGAAAAGAGGGATAAAAATTTGCCAGCGATGTGATTCAAAAACAGGATATGTATATGACATGAACATTTATTCCGGAAAAGAAACGGGTGAAGTTCAAGGCCACTCGGGGAACATGTAATATTAAAGCTAACAGAGACAATCCGAGGTAAAGACGTGATGCTTGCGTTTGACCGATTTTTTACAAGCGTGCACCTGAGGGAAACCCTGAAATTTCCTGCTGTTGGTATGTGCATCAATTCACGCAAAGATGTTCCTAATTTTGCAACAAAACTAAGCAAAAGGGATGAGGCTGAATTTCTCGTAACTAAAAATGGAACATTGTGTGAGGGATGGCTTGATTCAGAGGAAGTGATGATGCTAAGTAATTGCCACAAAGCTAAATACGCAAATGTAAATCGCACCATAAAAGATGGAAGCAAAGAAGAATTTGAGTGCCCTGTGGCAATCCAATTCTACAACAAAATCATGGGAAGTGCCTTGCAGATCAAATGGCAAATGTCTATGAATTAGATCGAAAATCTTGCAAGTAGTGGAAAAAAATATTTTTTCGCCTATTGATGAGTGCAGTGGTCAACTCATGGATTGCGTACTGCGAACTCAAACATTGAAAAACCCCACTTCTTGATTTCATTGTACCTCTTGCAGAAGCCTTGATGGTGTCTGGAAAGCTCAACGCACAGCATCAACGCCATAGAGGAACTGGACACCCATCCAAAACATCATGAAGCTTACTCAATGTTGGTGACCATCTGCCAGTGACAACAAAAATACGACGGCGGTGCCGTAAATGTGCACCACAAAAGAAGGAATCATGCACTAAAATAATGTACACGATGTGTAATGTCTCATTGTGCATTGATTGTTTCAAATCATACCATTCATAATTAAATTTTTATGACTAGAAAATCATTGGTTTTCTTTACAAAATTACTCATTGAAGACTACTGGGACACATATGTCCAAGTGGTCAGGACTGATGGGACATATATGTCCTGGTCTTAAATCAGTGTTCAAAATTTTTCTAAAAATATAACATCTTAGTTTTTAGCATTCTAGTGTGCCCTACTCATAGTTTATGTTATCAAAATTGTTCTGTTGTTTAAAAAAAAAAATATTGCAAAAGGGCTAAATCGTATTTGTTTGAATTTTTGTTGATAAAGACCTTCTTGCTGATAAAATTCTGTGAGCACTGAATCGAGGAGCAAAATGTTATCAAACAGAATGGAATATATTTGGCTCATAAAAGTTTGTGTGTAGAAAAAATTTGAGTCACTGAAAAAAAAACAAAATTACTTTCTTCCAACCCATTACGTAATAAAATTTGATGTTTGTAAATTTTAAAATTTGTATATTTTAATTTTGTCAGAGGAAAATTAATACATGGCACATGGCAGTTTGTTAATCAAAACATTACATTTTGGATATTTCTCTGAATTGCAACTATAATGCTATTAGTGTTATGTGATTTGTCGCATTTTATATTCCATTTTGAATTTTTTTCCCAGAAATTTGATTGTTTTCTTTTCTTATGTGTTTGATGATTTTATACAGTATGATTTCTTGAGAAATATTTCTAATATATTATTTTTCTAGGCATGGCAGCAGTCTCAACTTTATTTACGTCAAAGCCTCCATCCAACAAGTAAACATTATGTATTCGATGGTTCCACTGAAGAACTCCTTAATCATCCTGAAATTGTTGTCAGTAGAATACAACAACTTATTTACAGATGGCGAGTTAATTTTAACATTTTTCCCACCGTTCATACTTTCCGAGAGCAAGAATCATTATCAGCCTAATTTATTTTATATAAATAGTGTGTGATTATTTTTTCCCATAATAATAATAAATTCAATTTTTCCATATACAATGAAACTTTATTATATCATCATTATTTAGTAAAACTATGAAATTTAAATTTTGATAAAATATTTGTGATATTTAGTCTTAATATTTTTTCATCCTTTCCTGCATTATGATTTTGCAGAAATATGATGGCTACTATGTAATAACTACAATTTGTAACAGCTAATATTAATTATAAATTCCAGTAATATACCCCTGCTTTCAACAGTCTTCGAAACTATATATAATACTTATTACAAATTCAGTTATAATGTATAGCTCCCATTAATAAATATAAGCTATTTGTAATGTGTATGCACCACTTTGAACATTTTCATTTTTATTCTGAGAAACCCTAATAAATAAAAATTTTCCACAATAAAGTTTTGCAATTTATCAAGCTATGGAAGTGCTATTGAAATTGAAGAATGTTGAACTTCTATAGCAGTGTAGGCCAAATCTCGTGTCAGTAAGAGCCGCACGTTTGAATTCAGGAATGTTCGAGGGTCACATCTAGATTTTCTAAAAGCACAAGTTTATATTTACATCATTATAGAAGTAGTGAAGGAGGATTCAAACAGAAAGAATGGAAAAAGAGTCTAAACTAATTAATTACTTCCTCTTGGACACTAAATAGTTTTAGTTTACCATATTTCATACATGTATTTTATATGCATAATGAGTGGCACAAATTGCCTATGAGAAGCGTATCAGGCTCGCAAGCCGCAGTTTGGCCACCCCTGCTCTATGGAGTAAATAGATATTTATATATGATTTAAAAAGAATAAAATTATTTTTAATCAACTTGTAAATGATTTAACAAATTTTCTCTTTCATAACGAATCAGTGAAATAAGAGTTTTAAATCATCAGTGGTAATATTTATTTTTTAAAAGTATCTTGAAATTCACACTGTGGGAATTTTTTTTTTTTTTTTTTATGTAAAAATTTAAAAGAAGTAGGATTACATTAGTCTTTCAGTTGATATTCTAATTTCATTAGAATTCATTAGATCAATTAATTAGACCATTTTAATTTTATGAAAGGGAACTTAATTGTGAATAAAAATTTATTTAAATTTTTCCTTTGACATATGAAATTTAATTCAAAAAATAATTCATTATGATGTTTAATGCAGCAACCAACTTATGTATCTTCAAGGGCTAGTTAAAATTCTGTCTTTGGACAGTGGATCTCGTAGTATATAATGTTTAGCAAATATTTAGAAATTTATCATGGAGTAATAAATGCTGATTGTTAATATTCTTATGGTATTAGTTTCAAATAATCTTTGTTGGAAAGTAGTTCTAAAGTGATCTGAAATGGAAAAATGTGTGCAAAATGATAAATTTTGTTATCTTGTAGAGGACTGCAGTGAAGGATCTCATGGTTTACATGTGATCATTTTTATGGTCATTATTATGCTAAGTAAACCAGACTGCCTAATTTGTTGTTATGTATAAGTATATCAAATTTTCTGCACAGTTTATCATGAAAGTTTTTTTTTTTTTTTTTTTTTTTTTTTTTTTTTTTTTTTTTGTGTGTGTGTGTGTGTGTAATATGTAAGTAAATATAGTTTGTATGGTTTTGAAATAGGAATAATTCCATGTCATATAATATTCCATTGGGGAGAGGAGGGAAAACAAATTCTTTTCTGAAAGAAGTTTTAGCCAGTTAACAAAATGTAAAATAATTGTAAATTAATATTAAATGGTTATTTTTTGACTATATGAGGGCAGTTTGCAAAAAAAATTGCATACCAAAGAAAATTTTATCAACTATATGAACTATGACTGATCAAATTGCATATATACCCCCCCCCCGAAAAAAAAGTATTTGGCCAATCATTATAAAGAATTTTGCCGATGGGTTTTTTGCATCATTTTTAATGAAAGTTTCAATTTTTAATGTCTGAAATTGAAAGTATTAACTAAATTTTGGTTTGTAGATGGATGAATTTATTTTGTATTTATTGTATGAAATACATAACATCAGGAAAGTTAATCATTGGCTTTTTTTGGAAGAAATTATTTGTTATGTCAAATATTGTATTCTCCAAAATTCATATAATATTTAAAGAAGATTTTGAAATTTTGATTTTTTTGCCGAAGGGGATGTTAACAATTTCTTGATCAATAATTTTACATTATTTGTTTGGAGAATGATTTTGAAATGTGTATAAATGTATAATAAAAGGTAAGATTAGCTTCAAAATTGTTGAAATAATTTTATAATTACATGATAAATAGGATTGCTAGTATATATAAACATAATAAATGAGGTTAACATTTATCATAAAAAAATCGTTTGTGTGGTCTTAAATTGATATTTTCCCTTTTTGTATTCTAAATCTTGTGCTTTTTTTATTTTTTAGGAATTTTTTTTTAAATGGATTTCTTGGATTGTTATAAATTTAAATATCTGTCAAAAAGTTATGTGGCATCCCTTTTTAGAATTATATTCCAAATAATTGTTAAAAAAAATTGCTGTATATTAGCATCCTTGCATTGATAAAAATAGAACTTAATAGGTGAATTTGAAGCATCTGTAATGAAACCCTCAATTTTAACCATGAATTTTTATAGCCTTTTCACATATCACATACCATCATCATCCAGCTATCAGCTATTTGAATGGTGAGTATATCTATGTTATAGGTTTGTTTAACTGAGTGTTTTTTATATTCTTAAGATATACTTCAAAGAAGTCTAAAAGTTTTAGGTACATCTGCTGATTCTGAATGCATGTTTTTTCTGCTGCTTGCTCTAAATGAAAACTGAATTATTAATGATAATTTCAGTCTACTAAGGTTTAATTATCAATCTAAATTCGAATAATTTTAACACTATATATTAAAATAGCAACTAATTAAAAAAATAATTTAAACAGGGTTCGTACGGTCCTTAAGAGTACTTAAAAGTCCTTAAGTTTTTTGGAATTGATTTTTGGTCCTTAGTTTCATCCAAAATCGGCAGAAGGTCTTTAATTTTAATCATGTGAAATTTCTGTCTGTTTTTACTACATTTTGAGTGTGAATTAGCATTTTGGAGGTATATTTTTGGCAATTCACTGATAAATATGGTTACCTTTTGAAGGGGTTATAATTTGTTCCTATTTCTAATATAAATGGTGGGATACTCGAGTTTCTGAGCAAGAAGTGAAACATAAGAATTTCGAAATTATTTCACTTTTTCTAATGAAAAGCTCTTAAACAACTTTTCGCTTTTGGAGATGTGAATTCTTTTATTGAACGGCTGTAAATTTGGTGACTTATCAACATTTTCGCGGTTTTTTAAGACCAGTTTCTATAGTGAATTTTTAATTCTAAGATCTGAGAATTTTTTGAGGATTTTTTTAAAACATTGTAACATTGATAAATTTCATTTAAATAATGGTAATATATTGAAATTATATTTAAAAAATAACATTAAAATATAACATTTTTATTTTTCTGAAAAATCTGAAAATAAACAGGTATAATGCTATAAAGCACAATTTACGAAACAGTTCTTAGCAAAACTAAAATAGCTATTTTAATTAAAAATATCTTCTTTTTAATTTATTCATGATAAGAGTTTCCACATGTAATTGTCTCAGAATATTCAGAATTCTCAGAATATGCATCAGTTTTCTCTATAAAATTAATTTTACACTTTTTCCTCTGATTCTTCCCCCCCCTCCCAAAAATATTTCTGGCTGTTTGCTGTTACAAAATAGGTAGGGGTAATTTTTCTTTTGGACTTTAAACATTACATATTGAAGAAGGATGTAACTTGGAAAGTTTAAAAGGATTTGAAGGCAAGATTTATAGACCCACGATTCTAGAAGATTCTAGAAAAATGTGACAAAATGAAAAATGTCTCTATGGCATTAACACATAATGGATGTATTTTACAGAAAGTTTGCAATAAATTTCTTCTTTTTGGAGAACATCTGGAAGAACAATGAAAACATAATATTTGAATGTTTTACTTCTGATACTAGAATCTTTTTCTTAACAGGTTTATCTTCCCTCTATTTTCTCTACTTTTCACTAGACACAAGCATGGAAAATATTAAAGATGCTTCTAATCTTATTACATTGGCAGGCATTATAGAAAGGAATTTTTTTATTAATAAAGAAATTGAAAACTGGCAATTTAAAAGATTCATCTAATATGTCTTAATGCATTATACACAGGTCTGATGCTAGGCATTTTCCCACCTGGTGCAATCACGCGGAATATTAAACTTATCTCTGTAGATCCTAAATTTTGCTGACTGCTGCCTTTCTAAATTCTGCTTTCAGTGCCTACTCTAAATTCTAAAAGTTTTGCCATTTCTCGATTTTGTTGCTCGGTGTGTCACTAAATTCTAAAAATTTTGCCACACCAGCTCTGTAACCGGCGCTTACCATATATATTTCCTATTTCTCCTGAATGTTCATATTACTAAAGAAATAAAATTAGCAGCTTTTTCTATACATTCTAAATGCATTTAATTTTTTATAGAATAACAGAAATCTTTTCATTAAACCCAAAAATTTTGAAATGAAAAGGAAGTGCCTTGAAGAAAGAAACCGAATATATACAGAGAAGAAAAGTTATTTTTCAAATATATATACAGTTATTATTATGAAAATTACCCAGTTGTTTATAATTTCAGCCTTTACTATAATTTCCCGTTTCTATTTCCTCTCCAGAACGCAAATCACTTAGACAGTTTTTAAACTGAGGTGTTTGGTGTGTAAGACAGTGTGTTTTTAATCTTTGCTTGCTCGCTGCATTAGTTCCTGCCAGCTCTGATAATTTGCAATTTTTGTCTGCATTATCGCTGCCGACATTTGAATTTGTTATGACGCTAGAGTTACCGAGCCAGCTTAAATTGAAATTAAATTGTATAGTTTTGCCCGCTAGTCCACATTTTTTGTTTGAGTTTGACTGTTTTGGTTTAATTACATCATCATAAGCTGCAATTGATTTGGTTAGCATAAGAACATGCCTTTAAGTTCTTTTTAAATAAGAGGCTTATTTAAACCTTTGTAGTTACTTTCAGACATAGCGATAATTTGCTTCACGTCTGTCGGAGGGTTTTGGACTATTTAACTTTTACCAGATCAAGAAAACCTCATAGGTACACTGTGGAGAGTTTGACAAGTTAGGAGATAAAGCACGCAGAAACTAGTGAGAACATTGGTTTGCATATTGAGAGAAATTTCTAATTCTTAGAAAAGATGCTTAAAGAGAAGGAAATCGAAATAAATTAGCCAAAATATCTGGGCAGGCTTCAAATTAAAAAGACTCATAAATATTTTTTTGAGTGTTGTTGCTGCAAAATATAAATGTTTTGTAGCTTTTGTTGTTTAATTGTCTTAATATCGTCTAAGAATCAATGACATAAATTGCATGTATTTTAAACTGTGGAATTTTATTAGATTGTGATTTTAATAGGGCTTTTTAACAAATTTTGTTAAAAAATAAGTAAAATTTAATAGTAGTCATGTAAATTCATAATGACTAAGGTTATCTAACTACCTAATTTAATTATTTATAACTAACTGCTTACCCTTAAAAATTATCTCTGCATAATAAAGCGAGTTATTGCCTTTCATTAATCCTTACCGTGGTACAAGATAAAAACACAGAAATATAAAAATTTATGTAAAACTTATTCTTTGTATCTAATGAGACCTAAAATAATACAAAGCAACTTATTACACCTCTGGTACTTTGGTGGCTTATTGGAACCTTAAAGTATATAACTGGGTTACAACCCCTGGAACTCTACACGAAGCTACGACACTAACTGCATCAGACGGAGCCCACC